CCTGGGCACTGCACACACTTCATGCACATACACACAGTGCACACACATCGTGCAGTATATAGACAGGCAAAACACTCAGACTCAGTTAAAAAAAAAAGTCAGAGGTTTTGAGAAGCAGTATTCTCTTTTTCATTATCTTATTCCTTAGCTCATTACGTGGTAAAACTGCTAGTTTCTTAAGAGGCTTATATTTGGTGTGTTTCAGCATACTTTTTATTCTTATTACAGTAAGAAAAATCTAAGAATGTGTTCACATATGGATATGTCCATTATTAAAATAATTTGTAAAGATTGTATTATATATTTCCATATGGTTTCCAACATACATGTAAATTATCATAAAGTTTGCCATATCATAATAAAAAGCAGAACCATTTTCCAAAATAAGTCTTCCTGAGTCCTTTTAGTCTATTTTCCCACTGTAAGTCATATCAGAGCTTCATGTTCCTCATTATAAACTTACGACTATGTCTGTAAAAAATGGTACTTACATTTGATATTTTTGTACCTTATAACTAATTCTTCAACAAAATTGTAAAATCTCACTTTCATTTAATCAGTCTCTAAGAATTGTATTCAATGTTATCTTTTATTTCTACATTTATTTTTACTCACTGTGTACATGCGCGTGTGTGCACGTGTGTGAGTGTGTGTGATAGCACAAGTGTGAGAGTCAGAGGACAGGCGAAGGGAATCAGCTCGTTCCTTCTGCCACGCGAGCTCTGGGGATCAGTCTGATGGCTGCTCCCTCAGCCACTGGGCCAATCCCTCCCATTCCTTTGGAGCCCAGGTTGAGTAATGTCTTCAGACACAGCGCTGCCTTTCCGTAAGTGAAGCCCTGACATTCATGAATCCATGCCCCAGCAGGTTTGAGGGGAGACACTCCATCTTCACACTCATTAGGAACTGAGGCTGAGAAGCGGACTCTTAGTTGAGATCATTTTCCTCATGAATCTGAAGACCGCTTCAGATGTTTTAACTTCCAATGAAGGAAGTGGAGAGGCCACTGCCATCCTGGCTTCTAAGATTGACAAGTGACTAGTTTTTTTCTAGTTGGAATATTTGTTTTTCCTCAATTCACATAAGGCTTTCCACAAAGCTTAGCTCTGGACACTTTCGTGCTGAGCCCTTAATGGGCTTGTTTATTTTAGAACCTCATAGTATGTTGGAAAACCTTTCTTTTTAATTTATATGAATTTTTGCCTGCATGTATGTATATGCACTGTCTTAGGGTTTCTATTGCTATGAAGAGACACCTTGACCATGGCAACTCTCATAAAGGAAGACATTTCATTGAGGTTTAGACAATTATTTATCATCATGGCGGGGAATATGGCAGTGTGCAGGCAGCCAAGTGCTGTAGAATTCTACATCTTGATCTCAAGGCAACTGGGCGTGAACTGTGATACTAGTAGCACACTGAGCAAAGGACACCCCACTGTGACACACAGCCTCTGACAAGGCCACACCTCCTAACAGCACCACTCCCTTTGGGGGCCGGACCTGAGGAGGTTAGGAAGGGCATGGGATCCCCTGGAACTGGAGTTACAGACAGATGCTTTGTGAACCACCATGAGGCTGCTGGGAACAGAACCCGAGTCCCTGCAAGAGCAGCCAGGGCTCTGACCCTGAGCCATTTCTTCCCCGACATTGTGTGTTTTCTCTGATTCGTCTCTTTGGATTCCCTGTTACTTCAGTGCTGGGTTTCCTGTATTTATCTGAAAATTTCCCTCTTTATTTTCTAATGATTTTTCTTCTAATTCACTTTCAAATGTTTCCAGCCCTTTCTGTTTACCCTTCCAATTCCTAATGGTTCCTTCATGTCTTCAATGACCTGTACTGTTTTATGGCTACAGAATTCTTTTTTTTTTTTTTTTTTTTTTTTTTTTTTTTTAACCGCATTGAAGATGAGTCTTTCCTGAAGTTTTTCAGCTTCTCCTTCTATTCCTAGTGTCCCCTAGTTCACTTTTCCTTCAGGTCAAGTGCTTGCACAGCAGGTGGGTCACCCTTTTATTACCAAAGCTGCTGATCAAGAATTTGTAAATGCTTTTCCTATATTCTGTAAGCCATGCTTTTACTTTCCCGGTTGTGTCTTTTAAATCTCAACTATTTTTACTATTAAGTCCAGTTTGTTTTTTCTTTCCCTGCTGTGATTTAGATGTAACATCCAAGACAACACCACTCAAAAGCCACCAAGACGGGCAGAGGGGCGACTGAGCAGTTAGAGCATTCACTGTTCTCACGCGGGACCCAGGGTTTGCTCCCCACACCCACACGGTGGCTCACAACCTCCTGTGACTTCAACTCCATGGGTGTTACACTCCCTTCTCGCTTCTGTGGGCACATGTATGTAGAAATATACACATAATTAAAAATAAATCTTAAAAAATATTTTATAATGATTGCAGTCCAGACTATGTGTTCTTTTAACAGTTTTATAGTTTTAGCTCTTATTTGCAAGTCAGTGATATATTTTAATTTTTTGTTTTGTGGCAGGGTATTCCTGTGTAGCCCAGGTTAGCCTTGAACATGACATACAGCCCAAATGGGCCCAGAACTCATCTTCTTATCTTACCTCAGGAATGCTAGGTTAACAGGTGCTAAAAAACATGCTCGGCTTGAGTTAGCTGTATACAATGCGCTTTGCTTTGCATTCAACCTACCATGGACCTTGTCGGAAATGCATAATTTGAAGCCTTGTAAATATTCCTCAAAAACTACAAAAAATCAAATCTTTTTTTTTTCTGAAAAGATTAAAATTTTCAAAGAATCAAGGTGGCTTTCATTCATTTATACCTCCTGTTTGTCTCAACGAGTCCCTGCTTTTTAAAATTACATGTTTAAAAGCTGGAGGGATGCTCTGTAGTTAACAGCATGTGCTGTTCTGGCAGAAGAACAAAGTGTGTTTTTGAACACCCAGATCACAACCACCTGTAACTCCAGCCCCAAGGGAATCTGACACCCTTTACTTAGGACAGCTGCACACATCCCTCACACAGACACACATATTATGTGCTACACTCTTTATTTAGGACACCTGCACATACCCCTCACACAGACATACATATATGCACTTAGTTTTAAAAAGCAAAATCTTAAAAAAAAAAAAAAAAAAAAACCTACAACTCTCTAAAATCAGGAAACAGCTGTTTGATGCTTTTTCTTTTTTCAACTCCTAAACTCATCTTAAGAAAATATTTTCTCCACATTCATTTATTTTCTTCTCTCTTTTGTGAACAGAACATATCTTAAAGATCTAGATAATTTTCTTCTATCATTCACTTACAATTTTGATTTGTTAATCTTTTGCTGCTATTTTACATATTTTGAAGGACTGGTTTTATAACCTGGCCTTGACAGTTAGCAGGTTACCTAGATGTCCCATCGGGAATCATGTTTGGCAGAGGGGCCAGCCAAACCCTGTACAGGTTCAGTGACCAACCCGACTGCGTAATGGGTGACACGGCAGAGTCAAATACAGGTCCTGATGTGGCAATGTTAAGACCATAGCTCCATCAACTCAGACCCTCAGGGCTACATGCTTACTGATGTGTGTGTCAGGACCCAGTACCAGCTCTAAGTGAAGTTACATTTTCAAATCTGAGCAACTCAGATGCTATCAGCAAAAATACATGCAGATAAGCCAAGAAATAGTTCTTGCTGCTTTTACCTGTGCAATCATTCTCTTGAAAATCTGGGACTGAGGCAGACCTGTTCATATAACTACTAAGTCACATAGGAAACGTATGACATTTCTCAAGTCTTTATAACTAATAAAATACAAACCACCATTCTACAATCCTTTTTCTCTTTTATATGAGTCTTGTAAGCCCCTAATGTGGTAGTGACACAGAAAACATTTTCCAAATTACCAATGCCCACTATAAAATACCATACAGAACAATTTGTTTAAAATTTCCTGTGACATTACTAATGCAAGGCAGCCAGGAGGGAGGTAAAGGAAAGCTCTGTGGAAGGGTGCAGGGCTTCTACTTGGGGGAGAGATATAGTTGTGACAGGTAAACAACATTATAGGAATTAATGCCACTGAATTATAAATTCAAAAAGTGCATTTTGAAGTAAAATTTGAGCTGACCATGACCATAGGTAGTAGGCATATTCCTATAATCCTAGCACCAGACACTGAGGCAGATGCTCAGGGTCAGACCAGGCTTCACTGGGCAAAGGCAGCTTTTATGCTCTGCATATTTTACACTTGGAGAACAGTGGCCTGTCACTTGAGAGCAGCAATGCTTTGGTGACATCACTTGATTTTAAGTAGCAGAATATACTGAGAATGACAATCTTCCTGTGGCTTTCAACTACAGTTCATCTTTATGAGTATATGTGTCTGTGTACACATACGTGAGCATGTATTTATCTTTACGTGTGTGTCTATGTTTACATACGTGAGCATGAGTTTATGTGTATGTGTCTGTGTACACATACGTGAGCATGAGTTTATCTTTACGTGTATGTGTGTCTGTGTACACATATGTGAGCATGTGTTTTAGGCCAGAGGTCAGCACCAGGTGTCTTCCTCAATGGCCTGCTCACATGTTTTGAGGCGGGGTCTCTCAGCCTGGAGCTCAGTGAACCAGCAGCCCAGCCCAGGACCCCATCCCCACCCTCCAGATACAGAAAGTACAAGTGAACGCTTCCAGACATCTGAACTCAGGTCCTCACCCGAGAATGGAAAGCAAATTACTAAGCTTGTGGGTTATCTTTTAATTTTTCTAATTTTTGTTTATGGGTGTAATAATGTGTGTCTGTGTCCCATTTCTGTATCTGGTGCCCAAAGAGGCCAGAAGAGGGTCCCCTAGGACAGGAGTTGAGTATTAATGGTTGTAAGCTGTCAGTTGTGTGTGTGTGTGCGCGCAGGGGTCAAACCTAGGCTCTGGAGGGGCAGCCAGTGCTTCATCATTGAGCCATCTCCCCAGCTCTGAGTTTACCTGTTAGAGAGAACATGCCCCACAAGTGCATAAGCTAAAAGTGGGTACCTGGCTGGACCGCAGCTTCCTGTGCTCCAGGTGGCTCTTCTCCTGTAGGAGGGCCTCCTTCTTGGAGACGATGGCTTCTCGCTTCTTCAGATCTTCTTCCAACATCTCCAGTTCTTGGCGCTGGCTCAGAACTTTCTCTACCTCTTCATCCAACCATTTCTTCTGCTCATCAAATTTCTAAGTTAAAAGAGACACTATGGTTTGTTTCTCCCCACTACCATAAAATTATATCATTTAAGTCTCTGAAATTTTTAAAATGAACACCAAAATTATCAGAGCAATTCACACTCCCATTTGGCTCCCCAGATTCTGGTTAACATGCTGTTCTTGCTGTTTTGTGGGAAGTTAAAATTTATGATCCTACAGTGTTGCACTCAAGCTAATTTTGCCTGACCAAGGCATCGCAATTCACATCTATTAAAATCAGACTGGGTATTGTCACACGTCGTGGAGGTCATGCCTCCACATGCTTCACTGACAGTTGCTCGCCCCTCCCACCTGAGCTGTGGGATAGGCTGCAAGGGCAGCATTTTCAGCTCCCGATCCCTGATTACTGCTTGGCCTGCAGACAGCATCTGACAAAACGTCAAACGAGTAACTAAACAGATGTAATCAACCAATGGAATAAATAGTCCCTGAAAAAAAAAAAAAAAACTACTTTGTAGAGTGTCAACTTCAAATGCTACAAAATTAAATGAAAGGGTAGAAGGATATACAAAATCTGTTCGTTTTCTGATAACACAACCAGAAAAAGTACAAATATAAATAAAACATGACTAAAATACATTCTATCATAAGCACACTGAAATGTCATTAAAGCCACTAAAACAACAAATAAATAGAATAGTCAGAATGGTATTATTTTCCAGTCCATCAATAGGCCCCAAAGAAAGACCTAGAAATCTATATTAAGACAGTAAGGAGCCAGACATGGTGTCCCAAGCCTGCACTCCAAAGGTAGAAGCAGGATCAGAAGTTCAGGGTCATCCAACTACACAGGAAAGTTTGAGTAATCTGTGTTTACCTGAGACCTTGTCACAAAGCTACAACAAGAAGATGAAAGTAATAAAAATGCATGCGAAAAGAGGAAGATGCAAGGCCAGCCGACTTTACAGCAGACCTACCGTGTGTGGCCCTGCAGGCACTATCAACCCACGCTACACTGACGCCCAAAGCAGCAGCTGCCCTGCAATTCCCACAAGTGGGGAGTAGTGTTCAAACGCTTCAGTGCAGCCCAGACCTGGGAGAGGGCCTCAGGAAGCCCACAATTCAGTTCATATTACAGTGAGTGGGTTTCCAGGTGAAACAAGGCAATTGAAGATATTTGTGAATGCAGATGGTCTGTGTGGTAATACATCCATACTCTAAATGTCACTATGAAAATATGTAAAATGTAAATATTTTAAAAATCTCAATAAATGTGTTTGTATTCTGAATATGATTGTAATTTTGTAATTTTAAATACAGTTTTTCTTAAATACCTCAATATCTTTGACCTCCAAAATTAGTTTATGGTTGTGGTTTTATTTAGAATATGACACCAGAATGCTTTTGAGTATGTTTAGTACACAAACAGTGTGGTTCTGCTGGATGTAGGGCTCTGGAGTTCAAAAATATATCTGTCTCTCTGAGAGTAAATCTCTCTACAATGGGAATAAGTCTAGTGAACATGGATTTCACACAATATTCAGATAAATAACTTCTGCCAACATAAGAAGATAACACATTTCACATTTCTGTGTAAGAAATCATTTCATAAAAATTTTTGAAAAAAATACAGGGCATTTTACAAAGAAGCAACAAAAAAATCTAATATTTTACGATTTTATTCAGAATCTGCTACTCTTTAACCTATAGTTAGACTCTCATAAAAACTGAAGAGAATTAGAAACAGTGAACAGAGCTGACCGACCTGGAGTTGTTCCACGCTTCTGAAAGGACCTGTTCTTCTGTTCGAGTCAAACCCACCCAGGCCCTCGGCCTTTGTGCTCTGACCGTCTCCTTGTCCTTTTTTTAACTGCAGCTCCTGTACAGAGAAATTAAAAATGCCTTACTCACTGTACCACCCATCTCTCACTTAATACACAGACACACACTTTCTCTGTTCTCTCCTCTTCCCATCCCCCACCGCCTCATCCCTTTTCAATGCTAGGTCAGACCCCAGAGCCACGCGTGGGCCACGCGCCATCGCTCTAACCTCCTCGCACTCACTCTCCCAGTTACAGGGGACAACATGAGATGAACAGTGGGGCTACTTTAACTTCATGCCGTGACGGCAGGGTTACTAACAAAACTGGCCCTCCTCACTGTCTGCGTCCCTAATCCCCACGTGTTTTCCTGCCTTGCTGAGGCTGTGGCCACGGGCGTGTGTGCTCACAGTACAGGGTGGGTTTCCAGTGCAGGGTGACTTTCGGGCTGCAGCAGTGCCTTGGTAGTTAGGAGTGGGCGCTCATCTTACAGAAGACCCGAACTGAGTTCCCAGAGCCCATGGCAGGTGGCTCACAACCACTATAACTATAACTCAAGCTCTGGGGGATCAGATGTCTCCAACCTCTGCAGGACCTGACCTCATATGCACATACATGCCCACAAGTGCAAAAGTCAAAGGAACAAGTATTTCTGAAAATGGGAGCCTGCAGCTTAACAACAGCCTTATGAGATCAGGCAGAACAAAGCCTCGAAAAGAGCAGTCTCCAACTCCTTTAACTTCCTTCCCTTTATATCTTAAGGGCCAAATCAAGAAGCCCAATACTCATGGGGTTTTCCCACTACGGACACCTGAATCAGGAAGGAAATTAAGGGAGGAAGAGACTGAGGGACCTGGCCTTCTAGTTTAAGAGACCTATGGATTATTCCAATGTTCCGAGAGTCAGGTCCGAACAGGTATTGGTTAAATGTGTTTCCTGCTGACCTGTGGTGGACAAGTACCGAGGATGAGAGTATTTAGTTACTCCTGCAGCAACTCTAACTCATCAGTTCAATCTGTACTTAGCTGAGCATCACCTACACCTGCAATCATGCTGCCTGGGAGGCTCAACTAGGAGACTCACGTTTAAGGCCAACCCAAACAACAATAGTGAGAGAGAGGGGGAGGGAGAGGGAGGGAGAGAGGATGTGTATTCAGTTTAAGTGAACCTATAATACCAGCTCTGGGGAGGCAGAGGCAGGCAGATCTCTGAGTGAATCCAACCTGGTTTATACATAGTGAATTCCAGGACAGCCAGGGCTACATAGTAAGACACTGTGTATGAAAAGCACTGGGCATAGTAGCAACACACACCTGTCCCCTAACCCTCAACCATGATTTGAGATCAGTCTAAGACCCTGTTGCAAACACAAACAAGTAGAGAAAGCAATTGAAAGTGTGTGTGTGGGGGGCTTTTATTAGTAAAATTCACTTCATTTCTGCCTTCTTTACCCACAGGCGTCGCCTCCCTGGTGCTGGCTGTCCTGGGTGTCTGGCCTCCGCCTGCCCTACGTTAGCTGCCTCATGTCACGTCCCCCCCCCCTTCTTTCTACACCTCCATCTGTGTGCTCTCCTCTGCTCTGACGCTGGCCTTCCTAACCCTGAGAACCAGCATGAGTATCTGCTACCTTGTTCCGTTACTCTTCCAAATCCCTGGAGTTGGAGAGTCAAGCTTTCTGAAGCAGGATCTCAATCTGTAGCCTATTTTGACCTTGAACTTGCAATCCTCCTGCCTCAGACTCTTGGATGTGGGAATTCCAAGTCTGAGTCCTCAGATCCAGCTTACTTAAATACAACATTCTTTGACTGTTGTCAGTTGTCTACCCACTGGATGTCTGGACTTACTCATCCAGCCTTTTACCCTTTACCCAACATACCCCTATTTCCCAGTCCACAGTCAGTTTTGACCACGCCCTCATCAGTTCCATCAGGAAGAAAGAACGGTGTCCCCAACAGATGGTGCTGGTACAACCGCAATTCTACACACAAAAGAATAAAGCCAGGCCTGTGTGCCACATCATATATGAAAACTGACACCGAAGATTAACAACCTGACTGTATAAGCGACAACCACATAAATTCTGTGAACAAATACAGGCAAGTTCTTCACTACCTTGGACTTAACACCAAAAGTCAAAAGCAATATATAAAGTGAAACTCAAGTTTTAAAGCTTTTGTGCATCAAAAACATTACAGGGAGTTAATGAGGGTGTAGCTGGACTGGCCTGCCTAGGATGAAGGAAGTCCTGGGTTCAGTTCCCAGCACCACATGTACTGAGCATGGCGGTGCACACTTGCAATCCCAGTGGTCAGGGAGTGGAGCCTATGTGGTCAGGGGTTCACCAGGGCCATCTTTGGTTACATAGTGAGTTGGAGGCCTTGTCTTAAAAGAAAACAAAGAGTAACACTGGACCCCATATGATTGGGCCTTTCAACACCGTCCCATGGAAAGGGGAGGGACTCATAGACCCCGCCCCTCAACAAGGACTTAGCAGCAGCTAATAGTTTACAAGGGAGGGTAAACCCTTTCTTCAGTGGTGTAGCCATTGGTGATGAGTGCATGCTCCTGCACACAACCCAAGTGAGACACTGAGTAACAACAACAGCAAAAGGAAAAGGCGTGGAAACTGGAGTGGAGTGAGGTGAGGGGAAGGGAAGAGGATTCATGGGAGATGGGGTGAAAGAGGGTAGCAGGGGGAAGGGCAGACACAGCAAAAAAAAGTAGGAAAACCGTCATAATATTCACCATCCCCACATCTGACAGACGATCTCCAAAATATATGAAGAACTCAAGAAACTAATCAACAAAACACCAAATAATTCAATTTAAAAATGAGGTACAGATCTGAACAGAGACCTCTCCACAGAGGAATCTCAAAGTGACCACGAAACACTGAAATGTTCAACATTCTTAGCCACCAGGTAATGCAAATCAAAACAACTCTGAGATTCCATCTCATACCTGTCAGGATGGCTAAGATAAAAACACAAGTGACAGCTCATGCTGGAGAGGATGTGGAATAAAGGGGACACTCCTCCACTGCTGGTGGGGGTAGAGCAAACTTGCTCAGCTACTTTGGAAATCAGTATAGCGGCTCCTCAGAAAATTAGTAATCGGTCTGCCTCAAGACTCTTGGGAATACACCCAAAGGACGCTCCCATCCTACCAGGATGACACTTGCTCAACTGTGTTCATAGCAGTTTATTCATGATAGCAAGAAACTGGAAACAACCTAGATGTCCCTCAAATGAAGAACAGATAAAGAAAATGTGGCACATTTACACAATGGAGTATTAGCTGTTAAGAACAATGGTAACATGAAATTTGCAGGCAAATGGATGGAACTAGAAAAAAAAAAAATCATCTTGAGTGAAGTAACCCAGACCTAGAAAGACAAACATAGTATGTACTCACTTCTACGTGGACATTAGCTGTAAAGTAAAGGATAACCATGCTCCAGTCCACAGACCCAGAGAGTCTAGGTAACAAGGAGGGCTCAAGGGAGACGCATGGACCTCCCTGAGAAGGGGAAAGGGGAGAGGTAAGGAGGGTGGGCTGGGGCTGCTGGGGATGGGAACAGGGGGTCAGGTGAGGGGATGGGGCTGAGAGAGACACTGGAACTAGGGTGGGGGCACTTGGGACAGCAATGTGGAAACCTCCAGCAGTGGGAACTCCCTGCAATCTATGAGGCTGACCTTATCGAAGACTCCTAGTAATGGGGGACATGGAGCTTGAACAGGTGGTCTTCTCTAACCAGGCAAAGGCAGGACTGGGACTTCAACACACCCACAAAACCTTCAACCTACAACTTGTCTTGCCTGCAAGGGTCATGGTGTTCCAAACTTGTGGGAGTGGCCAACCAATGAGTGGTCCAACTGGAGCCCCACTCCACAGGAGGGAGCCCATCCATGCTCCATGCCTGGACTGCCTGGAGGGCCAGGCTGGATGGCCCGGAGACCTGATAGAACCAAACACTACCAAAAAAGAAGTCAATGAAATGAGTCCTAATGATTCTCTTATGCTCACAGATTGGTGCCTAGCACAATCATTATCAGAGAGACTTCATCCAGCAACTGATGGGAACAGATCCAAGGAGCCACAACCAAACATTAGGCAGAGGCAGAGGCTCCCTGTGAAGGGTGTCAAGGAAGGATTGTAGGAGCCAGAGGGGTCAAGGACACAAGAACATGGCCCAGAGCATCAGCTAGTCAGGACTCACAGGGGCTCACAGGGGCTCACAGAGGCTGGAGCAACCATCATGGGGCCTATGTGGGTTGAACCTAGGTGCTCTGCATATGTGGGAGTGGGGGCTCTCTCTGACCTTTGCCTGCTTTGGGGACCATTTTCCTCCTCCTGTATTGCCCCATACAGCCTTATTGTAATTAAGATGTTCTGCTGACATCCCTGGGAGGGGTGGATTTTCTGAAGGAGGAGTGGATGAGGGGAGAGGGGGAGTTGGTGGAGGAAATAAAGGGAGGAGAAATTGCACTTGGGATGTAATGTAAAAGATAAAAATAAATTTTTAAAAATGTCATAGTAAAATCTATTCTATATTAGTGGTAGGAATGCAAAATGATGCTGCTATTGTTATGGGAAACCAACCACTGGCCACTCCTTTAAAAGTTAAAAGAATATAGTAAACACTTGTAAATTGAAAAGGCAGCAAATACCATATCATAGTTCTTATTGGATTATATACAATAGTAAAAAGTACAACCTAACATCCACTGATGGATAAAACTAAAAAAAAAAAAAAAAAAAAAAGAGTAAAAATGGCTGGGCATGATGGCACCTTTAATCTCAGCCCTCGGGAAGCAGTGACAGGTGGATCTCTGTGAGTTCCAGGCAAGTCTGGTCTACAAAGCGAGTTCCAGGACAGCCAGGACTACATAGAGAAACCCTATCAGGCAGAAAACAAAGATTGAGCCTTGCTATGTTGCCAAGGCTGGATTCACACTGGCAAGAAAGCACCCTGTGTCAGCTTCAGAAGCTGGACCATACAGAGATGTTACTGCAGCTAGTGTCACAGAGAGTGAGGCTCTGACAAACCCCACAACACCAACGAAACCAGAAAACATGCTGCGTAAGCAAGCCAGACGCCAAGGGATGGATTTTCCCACTTACAAGAAATACATAGAAAGTGCAAATTCACAGAGATATGATATATCAGAGCTTATCAGAAGCTGAAGGAAAGTGGTCACAGAGAATTGTTATTAATAGTTACAGAGTTTCTCTTTGAAGTCTTGAAAACATTCTAAAACAACTATGATGGCCTGTACTTCACTGTGAATATAATTAATGCCATAGAATTAAACATGAATAGGGTTATACATATTTTGTCACACTTCATTAGACTGACAGGGCTAAGAAGTTGGCTCAGTAAGGAGAGTAGCGTGATTCACAGAACACACGTGAGAAGTAGCGGGAAAGAACAGAAGCCTGGACCTTGTCCTCTGACCTCCACTCATGCACTCTGCCACACGCACACTCACACAGACACACATGCAGAAAAATAAGCACAAAAATGATGACTTAAATTATAATAAAATTAAAATTTAGTGAACAAAATTTTTACCATAACAAAAAAATTTAAGAACGGGCAAATGCTTCCTAAATTCTGTAAGTGGTGTGAAAGCAGATTAAAGCTAATGTTACAATGCCTCTAATCTGGGGATGCTGACAATGGAGAAAGACGTGTGTTGCAGGAACAGATGGTGTCTTTTGTTTCCAAAGACTCCAAAACCACTCAAGAAAGAAGTCTTTATTTAAAAAAATCCTAGGGAGTTTCTAATTGTGTTGTGATCTTGGGTTCTGTTTGCTGTTTCAACTGAACAAAGCCTGGCCCAGAGCTAGGAAGGATTTTTAGGACTGTCTGCTTCCTTTCCAAAGAGCCTGGAGCTCAGTCCGCTGAAGGCAACTTTAGATAAGAATAAAGGAACTCAAAGAGGGCTAAGGCTTTTCCCCAAACATCCCATGCAGGGACAGAGGAAGCTGGGGTTGAACCCAGTGCCAGCCTGGCTCCAGATCGCAGGCTGACCATGCTCCTTTCTGCTACCCACTCCTGCACAGACTGCACCGCACTCTGACGGGGATGCTAGCCCTTCACCGGGAACTTCTCCCATATAGCAGCAGGGACAGCCAGCAACAAATGACACCGTGTAGAAAGTGACCTTTATACGCTTAACTCTTTGACATCCTTAATTAAAGACCTGAGTTTCCAGCATTGTGACTTATTTGTGATGTCATAACCTTCAAGAAAGTGCTCAGAGTTGAGTAAACAGGTTTTACTATGTGGCCAAGCAAAGCTTGGCAGGAATAAGGATAGTCCTGAGACACAGATCTGGCCAGACACTGCACAGAGCAGCTGAGTGAGGCCTGGGCTGCAAGAGCCCGAGCCTCCACCATGTCATACAATGCTAAGCAGGAAGTATGGACAGTATTACTTTGAGTTTTTGCTGGTCTCTCTTAACCTCTGCATCCAGGTGCTTCTTTTTCTCGCTCTCTTCCCGCAGCCGTCTCTGGAGCTGCACCTTCTGGTGCTTCAGGTGCCCCACGTTCTGCTCCAGCTCGCTGGCACGCTTCTCACTCTGCATGGACAGTGATGCCAACTTCTTACTATCTTGCTGCTTCTTCTGTAAAACCTGGGGCCACACAGAATATTCCAGACTGAGAAGGAATATTTCTCTCATTTCCTAATGACACAATATTTTCACTCAGTGGTAAGGGCTGCCATTTTCTTGGATCTACTTTATTTTTGATAGGCTCATCGACACATGCTCACTTATGTACACTTATTTTTAAATTCTTTTTGAGATAGGATCTCTCACCTCTAATTCCGTAATTGAAGAAAACATTATACTTTTACCAGACACACAAAGAATGATGAAATTTGCGTTGACAATCAGAGGAAACAACCTCTTTTGCTTTTTTATGAAGAATTCTAATTTAAAATGTATATGGCATAAAGTATTATAGTTCCTGCCTGGTCTGCAAGCTCTTGCAATGTACTCAGTAAACTATATTACACACATGCACACACGTGCACACATCACACAGAGGTATACACACATACCACACACATACACAGACCACACATACACATATATATACACACACACACCACACATCACACAGAGGTATACACACACACCACATACAGACCACACACACACATACACACAGGCACACACACACACACCCCAGACATAGTGGCTCATACCTATAATCTCAAAAGCTCAGGTATCCTAGCTTCAGAAGGCAAAACCAAAAGGCTGATCACAAGTTCAAATCCAGCCTGTTCTATATAGGAAGTTCCAGGCTACCCAAGGCTACAAAGCAAGACTCTACCTCATAAACAAACCGACAAAAATTAAGGAAATTATTAATAAATTATGCAAGTCATAAGGAATTGCTAGTCAGACTGTTGCCAGCACTGCAAAGCATACTACTAGACTGAGACAATATTACTTCCACGCAAGACATGTTGTTTACTTCAGACAGAGAATAGACCAGATTGGGCTTGAACTCATAACCCTCAGCATCTGGCTGGGGTATATGAGTGTGCTATCTGACCAGCTCCTTAAAGACTTTTTAAATGAAAAATGTAATTACATTGTAGTGAGCTATCTACCCCGCCCGCACCTGTTGCACTGACCACGCCCATTGGGGTGTGGGGACAGGGCGGGCGTGACCTGGGGGAACTCAGTCTGGGGTCCTGGACCCCAGCTCTCTCTCTTACTTCCTGGTCAGAGACAGAGAGCATCTGGAGGCATCCTTGGGACAGGAACCTGCAATGGTCATCTGTTTCTGGTGTCAGTGATTTCTCCCTGAATAAATATCCATCAGTCTATCATTTGCCAGGTTCTTATTTACCAGGCTTCATTACATCATTTCCTCCCTCACCTCCTCTGCACTCCTCCTGATCTCTCTCAAATTAATGGTCTCTATAGTGCTGGTGTGTGAGTGTGTGTGTGAGAGTGTGTGTGTGTGTGAGTGTGTGTATGTCTGTGTGTGTGAGTGTGTGTGTGTATGTCTGTGTGTGTGTGTGTGTGTGTGTGTGTGTTTTCCTCTGGGAACTGAACTTAGAGCCTCACACATTCACTGAGCAACACATCTAACCCCGGAAAAGAAGCTTAACTCTTCCTAAAGTTGTAGCTAAGTCCAAAGCATTTGGAAATGAAGTCTGAGTTGTAGTACTCAAAGTTACTAACCTTTTAAAAACAATCAACTATGGTCTCAAAAACTGAAATAGTTCGTATTTGCAGGCTGACTACAAAGTGTCTCTCTGGCACCTGATCAGCGCTTAACTATCAATCTTTTGTCCTTCAGTAAGGGATGCAGTTTGTTACCTTTTTGTCTTATCATATATAATTTTATGCCAATACTTTTAATGTTTACAGAAATAAAGAAATATACCACCCAGACTGCAAATACACAAAATAATAGACACACTAGGCAATAGGGAATATGATACAGTTCTAATGACTAAACATTGAACCCTGTTTCCCTCAGTACAAGAATCAATCCTTTTTGTGATGCTGAGGATCAAAACCAGGGTCTCACACATAGTAGATAAGGGCTCTACCCCTGAGCTTCATCCCCAGCCAGAAAGATTCAGAGTTAAGAAAGGATGGCTTGGCCAGGCATGCTGGTGCACACCTTTAACCTCAGCACTCAGCAAACAGGCAGGCAGATCACTGAGCTCAAGGCCAGCCTGGTCTACAAAGTGAGTTCTAGGACAGCAGGGACCACACACGAGTCTGTTTCAAAAACACAAAAGTAAACAAAGGGAAGGATGGCTTTATGAAGTTGCATGATTTACCTGAACGCGAAGCTTTGCAGCATCCATCTTTCTCCGGAACTCCTTCTGTAATTTGACCTTCAAAGCAACGTCAGAAAGGTCTTTGCTCTCCAGCTCCTGCAGCTGCTTCCGGGTTTCTGTGAGTTCTACTTTTGCTTGCTCAGTTTCATGCTCCAGTTTTGTTACCTTCAAAGAATACTGTCTGCTCACAGACTTGGCGTTGTTACCTTCACCAAAACACAGCAGTAAGAACAATTACAAACGACAACCCCAAAACCGCAGGCAGTTACAACTAAGGTATGACATTAAACACCCAGCTTGACCTTCAAGCACTCCAGCAGCCCAGCTTGTGAGCAGATCTCTTGATGACTGTTCCCATTTGTTTCTAGCATCTCTTCACTGTTCTATTCTTTGTGTTTCAGTGCTATATGTGAGATCCATTTTGAGCGTATGAATGTGCATTTTATATGCAGATGCTCATGTTTGTGACACCCACTAGGGGACAGAAGAGGCTGGCCGATTGTCTGCAACTGGAGTTACAAACGGTTCTGAGTCACCCAGTGTGATGCTAGGAAGCAAATCCAGGCATCTCCAGCCACATTGAGCTGTTTTTATTCTTCTGAATTTGCAATTGAGGTTTGTTTGCATCACGCTTCAATTAAGAGAAGGCCAGAAAGGTAGTTCAGAAGTTAAGGGCATTGGCTGCTTTTCCAGAAGATCTGAGTTCATTTCCCAGCAACCACATGGGGGCTCACAACCATCCACAAACTCCAGTTCCAGGAGCCCCAAGGCCCGCGTCTGGCCTTCATGTCTACCAGGTACACGTGTAGTACACACACATGCGCGCAGGCGAAACATCCTCATACATGAAAGAATAAAAGCTATCAGGAGGTGCTTGTTCTCTCATTTTAGATGCTTGGACTTTTTTGCTGTCCATGATCTGTCTTCTTAGTTTAAGAACAATTACTACGAAATATTTTTAAGAAACTTTTTAAATGCCAGGCAGGATGGCAAACACCTTCGATCCCAGCACTCAGGAGACAGAACAACTAGAGGGCTGGCAGTCTAGCTAAGCAATAGCGTGTATCTATTGTGCATGAGGCTCTAGGTTCAATCACTACATGCCCAAGTAAAGAAACTACACACAGCTACTGCATAGTATTAGCAAACAGATTGGTTGTCAATCAATTATTAAAAGACTAATGTTTTATGAACTACTAATCAAAAAAGTCATAGGGCCAATTTTCTCATGAACAGATGCTGAGCTACTGATGTCATTATGTATATATGTTTCTCATACTGGTTAATGAATAAAGCACTGTTGGCCAATAGGAAAGCAAGATAGGCGGGGCTAGGAGACAAGGAGGAAAGAGGAAGGAGTAAGGAGGAGTCAAGATGGAGAGTCTGGAGAGAGCTGGACGCCAGCCGGCTCCATGTGGAAATGCTTAGATTAATAGAAATGGGTTAATACTTAAGACAGAGCTAGCTGATAAGAAACAAGTAACAGGCCAACAGCATTATATCAAATACAGAGTCTTGGTGTGTTAATTGGGGCTGCTGCCGCGGTGGGTCCAGGACAGCAGGGGAAAAACCTTACTTGTAACAGAGCTACTATGAATTTATGACACATTGGCCAAGCATGGGGGGTGCACACCCTCACTCCTGCACTGGGGAGGAGGTGTGGGGACCTTCCCTCCTGCACTGGAGAGATTTGAATGTACAGCCCCATAGGCTCATGCATTTGAATGTTGGGTTTGCAGCTGGCAGCACTGGAAAGAATTAGAAGATAGCCTTATTGGAGGAGGTATCTCTGGGAGGAGGGGTGGGGCGGGGCTTTGAGGTTTCAAACCCTCACCATTCCCTGTTTGCAGAGTTTTCTGTCTTGTGCTTTTGAGTCTAGTGTGAGCTCTCAGCTGCTATTTCAGCACCATGCATGCCTAAATGATACCATGCTCCCCGCCATGACAGCCGTGGGCTCACCATCTGAAAGTGTAAGCCTGCATTAAACAGTTTCTTCTGAGTTACCTCGGTCACGGTGTCTCTTCACAGCAACAGAAAAGTAACAGAGACAGGCAGATCCCTACGAGTCTACATAGTGGGACCTTGCTCAAAAATGAAGAGACACGCACAGTGATTTCGTAAGAATCTAAGGCATGAAAAGCATATTGGAGTAGATGAGACACAGTATCCATGTCCCTGTCTTTGCTAATGACTAGCGAAGAGTAAACATGCACCATTCACTTCTAATCTCCATATCTGAACATCTTTAGGGTCTACAAAAGCACTGTGAGCTCCAGGGTGAGTGCCCTCTCTGAAGAGCATCTATTCCGGGAGGTAGTAGGTGTCTCCACGGCTCCCACACTCCTAAGGGGGTATCCGACTCCATGTCACAAGGGAACAGTCACTTAATGAACCATCTGCGATCACTGGAGTGAGGGTGACACAGAGCATGACTGTCACTAACAATGAGGGAGGGAACAGACTTTGGAAAGCACAAAGAAGGACCAATTGTGAGGAGGACATGGACATGGGGAGGCCATGCTTCCCTTGCTGGAGCACATCTGAGATTCAGCATAGCCTATGCCGTTGATTAAAGTGCTGCCCTGCACAGAGGGCCTCAGCCTCCAGAGCCCATGGGTGAACAGCTGCTACTGTGGCACTCACCTGCGCCAGCCTAGCCTACTCTCAAGAACAGGCAGAGATGCCTGAACAACACCCATGGCTGCCCTCCCCTCTGGCCCCCATAGGCTCGCACAGCTCTGTACCCGGCTCCCTCACAAATGAACGTTTTCTCTAGTTCCCTTAAATGAGACCAGAGTTGTTTTACATCAGAGTTAGGAATAAATGCTGGTGTGTGTCTCTTACAACTCCAATTCTTTCCTGCAGTTCAGAGTAGTCACAGCTGACTGTTCAGGGGAAAAACGACCATAGAGTCCGAACTGCCTGATGATGGGTATAGTACCCACCCTAACCTGACAAAAGCCACACAGTGAACAAGAGCTAAAAGCTTGGCTCACCAAAGACAGTAACTCTTAAGAACCAATCTTTACATTTCAGACAAATAAAAATTATCTACATTCAAAGTACAATATTTAATGTGAGCAATATAAACTACCAGACTCGGGATACAGCTCATGGGTAGAGTACTTGTGTAGTATGTTCAATGCCCTGGGTTCAACCCCCAATTCAAAAAAGAAAATTAAACGTGAACTGTCTCCAAGTCAATGGTGACTAATAATTAAAAATAATTACTGTTAAGACATAGCTTATTTTAACAGTTGCCCAGTGCATGCAAACACTTAAGCTGCTTTTGCTTTGGTTTTGCTAATACTGTTGTTTTATTTCAGAGGGAATGTCACTTTGTAGGCCAGGTCGGCCTGAAGTCACTAACGAGGCCGCACTGGCCCTGAACTCAGCTTCTAAAGTGCCAGGATTATAGAAGTGAGGCCCAGTTAAGATCCGGGTTCAAGCCCCTGCTCTATAGAAAGAAAAGTAAGATAAATATGTCCCTTTTAGGTACACACATTAAGTACCATGAAGTTCCATCCAACACAGAGCTAACACTAGTAGAACAGTTCAAAGGTGAGCCCCAGCCTCCCACACTGTGCACACACTGCTGAGGCACACCCGAGCAGCAGAGGGCAGCAGAGGGCAGCTGTGACCCCCATCTCACCACGCCACAGCTGCTCCTCCCACAAGCACGAGATGCTGTTATTACCTGTTTTTATTAACTCTTTGATCAGATCTTCTTTCATCCTGATGTTAATCGTAAGTTCTCTCATTTTTTGTTTAGCTTTATTAAGTATGAGTTCTGAAGTCCTTAATTTTTGCATATTTATCTCTTGACTCTCCTGGAGACATTCCATCTTCAAATCTTTAAAATCAAAGACACAAAAATTCAACTGAAGTAGAATTTTAAAACAAAACAGAACAAAAGCAATTTAGAGTGTCTTAGTTGCGTTTCTATGACCAAGGCAATTAATTTATAAAAGATAGTACTTAATTTCGCTAACGGTTTCAGAGGGTTGGAGCCCATTAAGGTAGAGCAAAGACATGGAGGAAGGAATAACTAAGATCTCACATCCTGACCCACAACAATGAGGCAGAGAGAGCATGTTGGAAGGGTGTGAGTCTTTTCAAACCTCAAAACCTGTCCTCAGTGACACGCCTTCTACAGCAGGGTCACACTTCCTAATCCTTCCCAAAGAGTTCCACCCATGGGGACCAAGTGTTCAAATCAGCCTACGGGGGCTGTTGTCATCTACACCATCACACGGAGGTAGCAGAAGGGTGAACAAAAAGAGAATGAAAACAGGAACAATGTACACAATTGAGATCTAAGCTGTGGCTTACAGGAAGCTTGTGGTTCAGAAGTGTTTACGTTAAGATTCACACCCTTATACACATATACACATAGCTATGCATGCTTTTATTGTATGCCATTAGGGTGGAAATGGTTTGTACCCCCTTTAACTAGAGTTATTTGATTAGAGATAACACCTCTGAGTGAGAAGAAAGGTGAGTGCTGACCTATTAACCTATTTTGCTGTAAGCAGAGAATGTAGTCTTTAGCTTGCTCTGTCATGGAATAACCTTTAGTACACCATGAAGATTGGTTTATTAATAAAAAGCTAAATGACCAATGGATAGGCAGGATTTGAGAGCAGAGAGGATGCTGGGAAGAAGAAGGGTAGAGACACAGAGTCATGAGCCCGAGATGGAGGAGGCAGGACAGCAGGAGGGGCCGTACAGGGTGAAGGTATGAGGCCACGAGGCAGAGTCTATTAATAGAAATGGGCCCATTGAAGTCATAGGAGCTGTTAGAAACAAGCCTAAGCTACCGGCTGAGCTTCCATCATTAGTAAGAAGTCTCCATGCCATGATTTGGGATGATTTGGGAGCTGGCAGGAGGGACAGAGAAAAGCCTGCGTTGCTCTTCAAGAGTGTGCCCCAGTGCAGTATGCGAGCATCCCAGGCACCCCACGCAGAGTGCAGAGCACACTGTCCTTGTCATAACCTGGCTTTCAGAGAGCAAAGTGCATGCACTCGTACATTCTGGCCTGAGTTCCTCTTGGCTCTGCAGACCAGTAACAAACAACTCAAGGACGGGTACCTGACTAGCACCCATCTTCACTGCTTCTACATTTTAAGTTATCATCAGTTTTACTCATAGTCTAATTCTGCTAAGTATTTCAAGTCCAGACTCTTGAAAAGATGCTGTTTTCACAATTGGACACTCATCATGTTAAATTCTCTATAATCTTACTTTCTGTATTAACCCACTTACAGTTCAAAATGAGATAAGTTAAAATCTTATTTTGTAACTGGAGAGATGCTTAGAAGTTAAGAGCTCATGCTGCTCTGGAAGAAGACCTGAGTTTGGTTTCCAGCATCCACACTGGTGGCTCACAACTGTAACTTCAGCTCCAGAGGATTTGACACTTCTCATCTCTATAGGTATTTATTTCTACATATGTGTACAAACCCACACACAGACACACAGAGGTTCGTTCTTTTTAATTCTATTAAAATTTTTGCTATATAAATTTTCATTAAAACTTTTTAAATTAACATATAATTACATATTCCCCCTTCCCCTCCCTTACTTCAACCCCTTCCATGGCCTTGCATTGCTTCTCAAATTCATGGTTTCTTTTTCTTTGATTATTACTGTACACGTACACACACACACACACACACACACACACTACATAACTGCTTTTAATACTGCTGTTTGATGCATAAAATTCTATCAACTTGCAACTTGTTCTAAAACATTACTAGGACACTAATTAGGCTTCAAAGCATGATGGATTGCTACCAGAATGCCAAGTGGACAGACTCCTGGCAGCTTGCTTACAGTGCCCTTCAGGGTAATCAACAGTGTAACACAGAACAGGTCAGGATTTAAACTTCTGTTCTGAAGAGGTTCTGCCTCCAGCCAGAACTCAGAACTGGTTGATAGAAACTTTTTTTTTTTTTTGTGGGGGGGTTGTTTTGTTTTGAGACAGGAGCTCATAAGGTAATCCAGGGTTACTTCAAATTCTTAATCTCCTGCCTCAGGGGCCTGAGTGCTGAGACTTCAGGTGTTCTAGTACACCTATGTTTAAAACATTATTAAGGTGCCAGGTGGTGGTGGTGCATGCCTGTAACCATAGCACTCAGGAGCAGAGGCAGGAAGATCTCTGTGAGTTTGAGGCCAGCCTAGTCTACAGAGTGAGTCTAGAAAAGCCAAAAATAAAGAAACATTAAGGAATAAATATCTTGAAAAGACAGAGGCTGACTGAGAACGTAGAATTAGCTCTATCAACACAGAGAACTCTGCTATCTGCTGGTGCTGGGAGTGCACAGATGCTTCTAAATGGCCTGGAAAAACAAGCACCATATATCTACACAGTCTGAGAAAGACACACACCTCCATTTTCCAAATAGGACTTCTGTGTTTCATCCGGAGTATCACTTAGTTCGACAAGAGAACAAACAGAGCCTGGCTCTTTGACCCATGAGTGACTTCTAGATCTAAAAGAGAATATTTTAAATGATTCAGATTAAAGGCATATCCTAGACTCTCAAATCCTCCAAAAGGTAACACAATGTTCTAAAAAGGTAATTGTATGGAACAAGCAGATTTTACTAATACTCTTTAAAATAGAGATTACCTCCATCTTGCATCCAATGTTTGCAACCATTGTAACAGAATGCAAAAATTAAGGAAAACAAAATAAAAACGTCCAAATGCTAAGTGTCGTGGCTCAGAGTCCTTGTTGCTCTTGCAGAGGATCCAGGCTCTGCAAGATTCCCAGCACCCACACGGCTGCTGCTAGCAATGGTTACCATCTGTAACTCCAGTCCCAGGAAATCTGAAGCCCTCTTCTGGCCTCCTCGGGCACCGGGAAAATACTCATAAACAATAAAGTAAATAATTATTTTAAATTAAAAAAGTGACTTCTGTTCAAATACTATTTTCTTAATAAATGAGATAGCAGATTTAGCAGAAACTACCTACTGCTTTATTAAATGAAAAAGACACTAAAACAAATCAAACCATTAACAATTATAATAATGGTTACTAAAGGGTTTCTATGCGACATACCTAATTCTAGATTTATCTCGGCCTTCTGACTCTTCATCGTCACTGTTGTCAGAAAACTGGCAGTGGACAACTTCGTCTTGTTCTTCTAAGTGACCCATGAGCATCTGGCTTCGTGTCCGGAACTCATCGAATACTTGATCCAGAGTGTATATAGGAGGACTTGAGTAGACCTTTCAAATGACCACACCCAACAACAAAAGAGGTGATTCTGTAAGTCAGCGTTTATCCTAGGACTCAAAATGGTTTAGAGGGGATACACACAGGCACTCTCGGGTAGCTAGTCACTGAGAATATGCTACCTGTAAATTAATTCCACAAAACTATTATGCTTCACAGACACAAATTTCTTTTTGATACTATACAGCTCCTTCTTCTATTTTCAGTGATAATAGTATTCAAAAATAAAGCCAAAGAGAAACATGGTGACAATCCCACTATATGGTATAGCTCATGCTCCCCAGCACAAGTGCTGTCACAGTCTGAAGCTCTTAGGGAGTGTGGGGCTGCTGTAGGATACACAGCTCCTGCGCACCAACACAGGGCAAATCTCACATCAATGCTCTCTTCCTGCTATGATAACATTCCAGAGCTGGAAACTAGAACACATTCATGTATCCTTGATATATGCAGAGGATAGAAATCACTGAATTAATGTTCCAAATGATACATTTAATGTATATCATACAATAAATAAATTTATGGGACAGCTAGAAATCTTCAATATTATGATGTTTCTACTGTAAATGTACTTTTTATTTAAATTAAAAACAATCTTATTTTACATACCAATCCCAGTTCCCCCACCATCCCTCATCCACTCCCCAGAGAGGGTGGGGTCTCCCATGGGGAGTCATCAGTCTGTCACAGAATATGGGGCAGGTCCTAGGCCCTCCCCCGTGTATCTAGGCTGAGAGAGTGTCCCTCCATAGGGAATGAGTGCACTACAGATGCATACTGGTTCCACTGCCAGAGACCCCATAGACTGCCCAAGCCCCCCTCAACAACTAAACAACAGAGCGACTTCTCAAAAAGAGAGGAGATAATGAAATCTTAAGGAGACAGTCACTGCCCAAGCTATTAAAGCTGTAATGTAATGTACAGTAGGATGTGTGTATCCCAGGCATTCAAGTAGTTCCCTCTAGCTGCGGGTTTCCTGGCAGGGGACAGACGCTGGGAAGGGAAAGTCACTTTCCTTTAGGAGTGTGGCCACACACACGGACATGACCCCATGTCCACACACACACAGGCATGACCCCATGGCCACACACACGGGCATGACCCCATGTCCACACACACACAGGCATGACCCCATGTCCACACACACACAGGCATGACCCCATGTCCACACACACACGAGCATGACCCCATGTCCACACACACACAGGCATGACCCCATGTCCACACACACACACAGGCATGACCCCATGTCCACACACACACAGGCATGACCCCATGTCCACACACACGGGCATGACCCCATGTCCACACACACATGAGCATGACCCCATGTCCACACACACACGGGCATGACCCCATGTCCACACACACATGAGCATGACCCCATGTCCACACACACATGAGCATGACCCCATGTCCACACACACATGAGCATGACCCCATGTCCACACACACACGAGCATGACCCCATGTCCACACACGGGCATGACCCCATGTCCACACACACATGAGCATGACCCCATGTCCACACACACACAGGCATGACCCCATGTCCACACACACACAGGCATGACCCCATGTCCACACACACGGGCATGACCCCATGTCCACACACATGAGCATGACCCCATGTCCACACACACATGAGCATGACCCCATGTCCACACACACACGAGCATGACCCCATGTCCACACACACACGGGCATGACCCCATGTCCACACACACATGAGCATGACCCCATGTCCACACACACATGAGCATGACCCCATGTCCACACACACATGAGCATGACCCCATGTCCACACACACACGAGCATGACCCCATGTCCACACACGGGCATGACCCCATGTCCACACACACATGAGCATGACCCCATGTCCACACACACACAGGCATGACCCCATGTCCACACACACATGAGTATGACTCCATATCCACACACACGGGCATGACCCCATGTCCACACACACACACACACACACACACACACACACACGAGTAGCACTGACTGGACTCAGTGGATGGATTAAATAAGTAAATAATGATAAAAGAGGGACATGCACTTGGGAAGGAGATGGGACAGGGGTCCTGTGGGGAGTTGAAAAGGGAGAGAAGGGGTGAGTATCATTATATTCGTGTGTGAAAAATTCAAATAGCAAATGAAAATCTAAACATTCATTAGCTGGCAGTAGGGCCCTCACGGACCTCATTCCGTGAGACAAGAGCATGTGCTTGTCACTGGCCCTCCTGCATCTCATTTGTGTGTCCCTGTGGTTGGTCACCTAGTGAGGCTGTCAACAATGAGGTGGACAGGAAATAAAGTGTGCTACCTGGCTCCCCAGTCCCGAGGACTGAGGCACGAGAGAGAGAGAGAGAGAGACAGAGAGAGAGAGAGAGAGAGGGCAGGCACCCTGGCCCTTCCCTACAGCTCCCTTCTCTGTTTCACAGCCGCTGCCCATGCTCCCTAGGCCATGTGGCCCTGTAAACAGGAAGGCAAGCAATCAAGGGCCATAGCCCTGGCCCCGTGAGCCAAGACAATGTGATGCAGAAGCCCGATACTCTGCTATAATAGTCTATGGAAACCACCACATAGTCAACCACAAAGGAACTGCCATGAGTAATTAAAACGGTTCAAAAGACAAAGCCCACGAGCTTAAACCTGAGAAACTACAGGTAAGGCTCACATTTGTCTTGAAAACCCGAAGCACCCAAGCCTGGGACATAACAGATACCATACGTGTATGGTGACAGTACAGGGTCAGTCACACCCTCATAAACTCTGGACACCCCACCAGGGTCCCCTCGCTTGCTCCAAGGAAGCTGCGATCACTGGGTTTAGTGACATCTAACCCTGCCTGACACAAAGTCCAGCCCTTACCTTGCTGCTTCACCTACTTCTTACCCTCCTGGTCAACTTACTGTACAGATCTCAAGTTATTTCCATTCATAAAATTAGTAGGAACAAAAACTCAATCTGACAATTGCATCTTCTTCATGGTAAACTGTTTGAAGCTTTATTTAAGGTTAAGCCTGCACTGGGCGGGAGAGATGCTCAGCGGTTAGAGCACTGACTGCTCTTGCAGATGACCTGGATTTGGCTCCCAGCACCTGCATTGCAGCTCACAACCAATTCAGCAACCCCAGTTCCAGGGAATCTTCCTGGAAGACCTTCCCTCTTCCAGCCCATGCAATACCGGGAAAGCGTATGATGCACATATGCAGGCAAAACTCCCATGCACATAAAATACAAATGCTAAAAGATAATCATTCCATACAGACATATATTTGCTACCTACATCTTTACAAACAAAAGTTAAAACTAAGTTTCATGTGATGCTTATGCCATCTTGACGGTCAGCTTCATAATGGCAAATGATGCAAAAGTTTGACTTTGAAAACAAAGGCAGACAAATTAGAACAAGGAAGCAAAAATACTGAGAGCCATGACAACATAGAAATGGGCGATTATTCAAGGTGTCAGCCCACCAGGAATCTTCCTGTTTACTAATGTTTATCTTAAAAAGAAATGTATATACAGAAGTGTCCATGAAACCAAAAGGAAAAAAAAAAAGATCTCCCGAGACTTTACACTCTGACACTCACGCTTGACTCACCTGCTTGGAATCCTGCCTTGATGGGATGTAAACATGATGTCCCCAGTGACTATCAAATGGTACCGTGTGAGGTCTGTTTTCGGTGATCCTGGCATCAGGCCCATCTCCACAATTTTCTTTAACTGAAGATGTCACTGACAGGTTAAATTTTGCGAGTTCTTCACTCAGCTGATCCACAAGAAGTTGCTGTTTGATTAACTTTTCATTCTTTGTAGAAGAGAGATAACGAAAAGCAGAGACCCTCACTATACATGTAATCATGAATTAAGTTACCCTGGCCAAAATCACAGCGCCTGAATGGCACCTCACCCTTCCCTCTGTGCGTACCGGTGACTAGTGCTGGCGTCAAATGCAGTGCCCCATGTACACGAGGAAGGACCCTGCCATCGAGCCGTATCCCCATAGAAAGTTAGCAAATAGTAAGCAGAAATAGGCAAAATATAAACTACTACAGAATAATAATGTCCCATTAACTGTGATTGGGTAACTGGACACTGTGATTCTAAGAGTCTACTAAATTTCTGGTCAGTGAGACCCTGTCTAAAAAAACAACAGAAACACAGAAAGTACGCAAACAAAAACTTCCTAGGCAAGGCTGGGGATGTGGTTCAGTGGTGGGACTTCTAAGCACATACAAAGCCGTGGTGGGTTCAATCCCAGGGCCACGTACACCAGGCCCAGTAGCTCCTGCCCATAACCCCTAATTTGGGCCATGGAGACAGAAATTCAGGGTCACCCTTGACCAAGTAATGAGTGTGAGGCCAGACCAGGCTGTATGAGACCCAGTCTCAAACACCTGAATCGAAGAACAGCTAGGTGTGGTGGGGTCTGTGGTCTGAGGAAGGAAGAGGAAGCCCATGTTTGAAGCCAGCCTCACACTGTGTGATCTGGTAGCAAAAAGCAAAACAGATAAAAAAAAATGTCATTCATCTCAACTTCACATGTACTATGAAGTTTAAATAGGGAGAAAATATGATTTCATTGTGTTGCTATACAATAATAAAGTACAATCTTATTTTAAAATCACCTTGTAGGATCACTGAACTATGCAACATTAGGGCTAGGAATGATGGTGCACGCCTTTAATCCCAGCACATGAGAGGCAGAGGCAGGTGGATCTCTCTAGAGGCCAGCCTGGTGTACATCTGGTCAACATAGCAGGTTTCAGGTCAGCCAGAGACATGCATGCAGACAAAATCTACACACAATTTACTAAAATAAAATGTTAAAAAGATGATTGAGGAGTATAGCTCCTCAATATTAGTGTTTATCTAGCATGTAAACATGCTAGGTGTAGGTTCAGTTCCCACTAACACAGACACAGACACACACACAGGAGACGGGAGGGAGGGGGAAAGGAGGGAGCTGGGGGATTCATGTGCAAATGTATAGAGTGGTTGTCTAGCATTCATGAGGCCCTGTTCAGGTTGCTGGGTGTGTATAAATACATGAAAATCAACACAGTTCCACATACCAATGAATAATCAGAAAGATGATTTTTTTTTTGTAAGATTACATTGGCAGCTACGATTTAAAAAAGCACTTAAGAATAGAGCTAGCAAGGTGTGGTCGATCACATCTATAATGCCAGTACTCAGAAGTCAGAAGCAAGAAGATTCCTGAATTCTAAACTAGCCTGGTCTACACAGTACCTTCTAGAGCAGCTAGGGCAGCATAGTAAGGTCCCATCCCAAAGAACAGGAACCATCCCAACAAAATAAGACTAAAATCAGCAAAATATGTTTAATACACAAAATAAATTATTGGGAAAAAAGAAACATAATATAAATAAATGGAATAATGTATTGTGCTTATAGATCAAAAGATGTTTCTTGTGGCCAGGCATGGTAGTCCATGCCTTTAATCCCAGCAGAGGCAAGGCAAGTGCAAGGAACGCAGACTCAGGAGGCAAATCTCTGTGAGTATAAGACTAGTCTGTCCTACAAATCCAGGCCCAGGCCTGTCAGGGCTACAAAATGAGACCCTGTCTTAAAAGATAATAATAATGGAAAGGAAGAAGTCTAAGTGTCCTCCTTGGCAGATGCTAAACCTGCGAGTCTAAGGACGCCAGCAGAAATTCTCAGAGCTGGTACTCAGCAAAGAATGTGACACAATTAGCATAAAAAATCCTTAGCGTGCTGGGCGGTGGTGGCGCACGCCTTTAATCCCAGCACTCGGGAGGCAGAGGCAGGGGGATCTCTGTTTGAGGCCAGTGTGGTCTACAGGCAAGTTCCAAGACAGCCTCCAAAGCCACACAGAGAGACTCTGTCTCACAAAACAAAAACAAAAACAAAACAAAACAACAACAAAAAACAACACAGCAACGAGAAACATCAGCTTTCTTGCACACCTTTGTCAGCTGTACTAAGAAAGAAAGGAAGGAAAATTCCTGCTCACAACAGCCTGAAACCAAAACAAAATTCCTTGGAATAAACCTAACCCAGGGTGTGAGAGGCTTCCATAGGGAAAACTTTAAAGTCCAAAGAAAATAACTGTGGAAGACACTAAAAGATGGCAAGACTCTCACGCCATGGCTGGAATGGTTAATATTGGGGAAATGCCCATCGTACCAAAAGCAATCTACAGATTCAGTGCAATCCCAATAAAAACTTCAATGACACTGTTCACAGAAGCAGAAAAGAAGTCTGAAAATTCATATGGAACATTAAATACCTAGAGGGCCAAAGATTCTGAGCAAAGAGAATACATTCACGATTAAGTATCATGCTTGGTTTGAAAGTATGGCACAGAGCCATAGTCACAAAGAACAATATGGCACCAGCCAAACCCAGATGCCGGGTCAGTGGACTTCAACAGGGGACCTAGATTTAAGGCCACCCAACTCATCCACCTGACGTTTTCTTTTGAGACTGAGTCTCTCTATGTATATCACTGGCTAGCCCGGAACTCACTATGTAGACCAGGCTGGCCTCAAACTCGGAGATCCTGACTCTCCTTCCCAAGTTAGGCACAGTCAGTAATCCACCTAACTTTTGAGAAAGATGTTCAAAACCCCCAAAACCCCAAACAATAACAACGAAACCCATTGTTGGAAAAACAGCCCTTTTAACAAATGTTGGGAAAATTGGGTTTCTACATGGAGAATGAAACTAGATCCTTATCTCTCACCCTCCACAAAAATCAACTCCAAATGGATCCAGGACCTTCATATAAAACACACACACACCAAAGCTACCAAAAGATACAGGTACAGATATGGACTTTCTAAGTTAGAAATAGGACCACTAATCAGCAAACGGGTTCGAATGAAATTAAAACACCTCTGTAAAGCTAAGGAAACTGTCAGCCAAGCAAAGGCAGCCTACTAATGGGAAAATCTTTGACAGCTACATATCTGATAGAGAATTAGTAGCCAGAATACACAAAGAAACTAAAACTAAATATTACTTAAAAAACAGGGCCATGATTCTGAACAGAGAAATGACTAACCTTGTGAAGTTTAAAAGCATTTAAAAATCACCTATCATCAAGAAAGGGAAAACTAAATCTACTTTGAGATAGCATCTTACCCTTGTCACAATAGCTACCTGTGATGATGTATTATTTATGATTTATTAAAGCTTGCCTGAGGAGTCTGAAAGCAAAGCCAGCCTCAAGCTATAGAGGCCAGGCAGTGGTGATACATATCTTTAATCCCAGGACTCAGGATTAAGAGGTAAATGGATTTCTGTTAGTTCAAGGCCACACTGACTACACAAAATTTATCCAGTCCTAAAAGAAACAGCTCACACAAAGATGATCTCAGCACCTGTGATCACACACCTTTAATCCCAGCATTAGGGAGGTATCTAAGATAGGACCAGGGTCTCAGAGCTGGCATTAAATCTGAGAGATTAGTCTCCAGCCTCATTGAGGAGAGCATGGCAGTCTGCGTGAACCTGAGGAGCAGTGACGTCAGGAGCAGTCTGAGGATGGCCCCTTTGGTCTGAGCTGAGGTAGAGGTGAGAGCTAGTGGCCGGCTGCTTTGCTTTTCTAATCTTCAGCTTGACGCTTGAACCCCAACTTCTGTCTCTGGGTTTTTATTTTTCATGTTAAGGGTCTGGTCCCCAGAGTGAGAGCTTCCCACGGAGCTGTTAACAAGAGAGCCCTTGGGGGCCTCTCCAACACACCGCTCACTGCTAGTGTTCTTGGTTGCTCACTAATACTAGATGAAGAGCCTAAAGCTGAAGGCACCATACTCTGGTTGCAAAACAGAGACCTCAAGCTAGAAGTGACGCGGACCTTTGCCCTGTGGCCTTGTTCTCACAGGGTCCAGGTGCTCTGCACACTGCTAGGAGAGAAGAGGCAACACTGGTCTTTCCTGGCTGTGTGCCATTGGTGCTACAATCTGACTTTCCAAGCAAATATGTTTTGGGGTCAACCAGTTACTTCACAAGTGGATTTGAGGCACACCCCCCCCCACAGGAAGAAATTCATACTTAGCATTGCCAACTTGGTCACCAGCCTATGGCTGGGGAGGCTGAAGGCCTTAGGAGAGAATATGCTACTGATGCTCTCTCTGCTAAGTGGACAATTCCGTTTTATAAACAGTAGTTTCTTTCGACGGAAGATGGCGGCCAATGTAGAGGCTCACAGTGCTCAAAATGCCAAGAATTAGTGAGTGCTAAGTGCTCAGCCGTAAACGTGGCGTCTTCATCACCCCCTCCAAGGCTCAGGGACATCACAGATCAGATGAGGGGTGAGCAAGATCACAAGAGGCAGAGAATGGAGAGGGGTACTATGAAATACTGTGTCACGTTAAAGACACAAACTCATAGCAGCTGTGGCTACCCGCACAAGTGCATACGCGGGCATGCACGCACGCTCACGCGCACACACACACACACGCACACGCACACGCGCGCGCGCACGAACACACACACACACACGCGCACGCACGCGCACGCACGAGAGAGAGACAGACATAGATACAGAGAGACAGAGAGAGAGGAGGCAGGCTAGTTGAGAGGGAGGGTGTCAGGAAGAGTGGAAAGGGGTAAGAGGGTTGTAGACACAATATGATCACAGTACATTCTATACCTACACATAATTGTAAAAAAAATCAAAAACTTTTAAAGGGGAAAATGGAGAGATCAAGTTAGTCCTGTTTGTAGATACTGTGATCTTTTAAAGATTTATACACATGTATGTGTTCTTGCATGAGTTCATGTACTGTGTACTCAGGTGCCCGTAGAGGCCAGAGGGTGTCAGATCCCCTGGAGCTGGAGTCAGGCACCTGCCTGATGTGGGCAAGAGTAGTGAGCACTCTTAACTAATGGTCGAGCCATCTCTCCAGCCCTATGATCTTATTTAAAACAAACAAAATACTCCCTGGACGGTCTAGAACTTCCTATGTAGACAAGACTGGCCTCTAACTCACTGAGATCACTTTGCATCTGTCTCCCGAGTGCTGAGGTTAAGGGTATGAGCCACCATACTTGGCTTTGGGAAAAATAAATAAATAAATGAATAAATAGGCATATCTGTGTTACTCATAAAAAAAATCTCAAGATAGAGTTTATGTGTTTGTTATTTAATCCTGTTTACAACATTCAAGCATAAAGCTCTTGGATTAAAGATTAGAAACGAGAAAGAGTTTTTTCCAGTAAATAACACAATTTTCGTGTTTATAGTGTGACCAAATATCCTGCAACAGGCCATGCAGGGGTGCTGCTTACTGGCTTGCTCCTCATGGCTTACTCACCATCCCAGGGATGGCCCCACCCACAATAGGCTGAGCCCTTTATCAATCACTAATTTATTTGTTTATTTTGTTTTTCTGAGATGAGTTTTCTCTGGCTGTCCTGGAACTCACTCTGTAGACCAAGCTGGACTTGAACTCACAGATCCACCTGCCTCTGCCTCCCAAGTGCTGGGATTGAAGGGTGTACCACCACTGCTTGTCTGCCATCAGTCACTAATTCAGAAAATGGCCTACAGCTAGATCTTATAGTGGCGTTTTCTCAATTGAGTTCCCTTCCTAAAAGGTAACTTTAGCTTGTGTCAAATTGACATACGATTAGCCAACACATGGTCTTTGTAAAAAAATCAGTTGGCTGTAAACACCCTGGCTGTTAAGAACTCTGTTCCATTGTCCTGTGTAACTCACACACCCCATGGTTTAAATAAACGTGCATTCTGTGCTTTTATGCATGTAGCACGCTGTTTGGATTGAAGTTGGGGTTTTTAATGCTCCCGTTTTGTCTCTGTGCTCAGAATTACTTTGTAGTCCTGTACAGGTTAGTCGCGTTTCTTCTGCCTCTATGAAGAATACCACTGCTACTGGGATAGGAACTACGCTGAATCTATAGACGCTTTGGGTACTGTGGAGTATTAATTTAACTATTCTTCCAGTCCACGAACAGTCCACCGGTGGCTTTCCCTTTTAGTTTCTTTCATTAGGATCTTACAATTTTCACTGTGGGGTTATTTACTTTTTGGTAATTTTTAATTAATAGTTAACTATGAATGAGGTTATTTTCTTGAGTTCCATTTTCAAGAATTCTGTTATTCGTATTTGAAAGCTCTACTAGTTTTTACAAGTTGATTTGAATTCTGCGAACCCTGATGAGTTCATCATCATTTTAAAAAGTTTTTTTTGGTGGAGTATTTTGTTTGTTTTAAATAAGATTATAGGGCTGGAGAGACGGCTCAGCCATTAGTTAAGAGTGCTCACTACTCTTGCAAAAATTAGAGAACTTGAAAGGTTTAAATAAAAGAGCAAATCACTCATGTAGTGTGAGAAGATAACCTCATGAATTATAAAAGTTAAGTTTTATGATTATCTTCTGCATTGGGGTTTGAGGAGAGGAGAGAGCGTATATGTCATGAGAGACTGAGCCCGTGGTCTTACATAAACTAGGTAGGTTATCACTGCATCACACAACCAGTCCTGCCTTGCAGTTCTTAATACCACATTGCCTAGTAACCTGGCAAACGTGAGTCGCCAAAGTCTGGAGAGAAGACAGTTAGTGCATGATTCGTAAATCAAGTCCACAGGTGTTTCCTTTGTCTACGAAATAGATGCCAGGCTAACAACAAAAATGCTTTCCCCTTAAGGTTTAGGTTTAAACAACAGTGTCTTCAGCTGCCAGTGTCCACAGCCACCACCTGAGACACACCTCTGTATGATGCGTTCGCCCTACCCCATGCAGAGTACCGTGCATGCGTGTGGTGAGCCCTACCTGCAATCTGTTGGCTTTCTGTGCTTCTTTCAGGGATACGGCATGTCCTTTGCTCTCCTGCACCATCAGCTGCACCCGGCTCCTGAGCTCCTCCACCTCCAGCTCCTTCTGAGTGAGCAGCACTTGATCAGCAGCCAAGGCACACTGGGAGGGGGAGAAGGCAGGGACAGAATTACTCCCTCAAGTGCAGAATGGCATAAAGCGACAGCATCACAGTGTCGCCAGCGGCTCCTCACCCTTTCCCTTCACCTTTTCCGGATCCTTTCTGAGGAAGACAGAAACAGGGGCTTATTGCTGTGACTCCTTGAGAATTAGTTACCATGAAAACAAGATTCTCTCAGTAAAAAATTAGTTACCTAGGCTCCAGAGGGCAATCAGTAAGATTTTTGTAACGTTGCTACACTTGTCATGGGATTTTAATGTGGGTTTTTAATAATCAAAGCTCTCATGCTTTCCTATAGGACCTATAAGACAGAAACCCAGTTGGACATTTAAATAAAGTTCCCCTGTAGATTTTTTTTTTAACACTTTCACTAGCAGAAGCAGATTCTAACGCCTGGAAATAAAGTTTAATGTCTTTACTGATTTCTGACTAATTTTGTTAGGTTTAACATAAACTTAAGATACATAGTAAACAGATTTCAAACTAAATAAACACAAAGAAATCTGTCAGCCAGGCTGATTGGTTTTAAGTCTTTAAGGTTGTTTGTATAGAGACTTAATAGAGGGAAACCCACTGTAAATGTGAATGGTACCATTCCATGGGAGTAAAAACGGGGAAGGACCTAGACATCAGCGTTCACCTGTCTTCTTCCAGACAGCAGGTGTAACATGACTAGCAGCCATATGTCCCTGCCGTCATGGCTGCTTTGTCATAATGGAGTGCTCTCTCCTCTCCCTCTCCCTCTCTCTCTCCCTCTCTCTCTCTCTCTCTCTCTCTCCCTCCCTCCACCCTCTCCTCTCTCTCTCCCTCTCTCCTCTCTTTCTCTCTCTCCTCCCTCTCTCTCCCCCCCCCTCCAGGCTGCTTTTGTCAGGTATTTTGTCACAGCAATAAGTAACAGAAAGAATTGTTACTAAGATGTGGGACCACTGTTGAGATGAACCTCAATCACATGACCTGGTTTGCCAGAGGACTACGAAAGAGTTTTGAAAATTAATGTAGAAAAACAGTAGAATAAGATGAGAAATAGTGACACACACCTTTAATCCCAGCACTCAGGAGGCAGAGGCAGGTGGATCTCTGTGAATTTGAGGCCAGCCTGATCTACAGAGTGAGTTCCAGGACAGGGTCCAAAGCTACAGAGAAACACTGTTTCAAAAAACCAAAACAGAAAAAAGAAAAAGCCTAGAATGCTATGCACAGAGCTTAATGGGCCATTCTGCAGCAGTTTGGTAGACCAGAACCCCAAAAGAAAAGTGGACAGCGGAGACTCGGTTAATGAGGCGTCAGAGGGAAGCAAGGGCTCTAATGGGAACTGCTACAGGCTGACAGAGACTTAGGCTCCAGTCTGTCCCTGAGAACTTGAGTGACACAGAATACAAAGAATTCTCCTGACTAATTGTTTGGTGAAGAAAACTTCAAAACAGGATAGCATTCAGGGTATGGAATAGATACTACTCACTGCTCTTACACAGATCTATAGTGATGGAGAAAACACGGAGCAGAGCATACACTTATCAGAAAAATGTACTGTTTAGCAGGGGAAGAAATGGGCAGAAAGCTGGGTTGACGCTGCACAGTTCGTGTTCCCCTTGCTGGGTTTCAGTCCCGCCTTGGTCCCACTCCCTCACACGCCCCGTTAGTCCCTCCTGTAATGTATATGTTGATACGGTGCCGTCACACACTGGAATGACAGGGACCCAACGTTAAGTCCGAGTCTCAGAAGATACTTCAGATTTTTGAGCAGTCTTGGAACTGTTAGGCTATGGGGATATTTAGAGATTAACTAAGTGCATTTTGTGTTCTGAGATGGAATCATGAGACCTAGAGACAGGAAGTGGTATGACCTAAAAGAATGGGTGTCAAATTGATAAGGGGTGGAATTGTGATGGTTGACCTTCATTATCAACTAGACCAGCTTTATAATCACCATGGAAACATCCAGCTGCAGGTGTGTCTATGCAGGTATTAGATAAAGTTTTAGCTGAAGAGGGAAGCCCCATCCCAGAATGAATAAAAAGCCCAGTGAGTATCGCAGCAGCATTGACCTCTCTAGGCTTCCTGGTGGTGGGAGATGTGTGTGCCCAGCAGACCTCTGGTCCTGCTGCCATGGCTTTCCTGCCATGATGGGCTGTACTTCCAAACTGTGACCCAAATAAAACTTCACCTTTACAAATTACTCTTGGCACTCCTCATATACCATTCACACACCACCCACACAGTAATAAATAAAAGATTTTTTAAAATATAAAACTTCTGAAATTCAGAAATGACTGTTAGAATTTACTTGTCCAAATAAATAACGTCCTTAAACAAGTTCTGTCTATGATCCAGGTGTGAGAGCTCACACCCATAACCCACCCAGCACTCGGGAAGCAGAGGTAAGAGAACTGCCCTGAGTTCAAGGCCAGCCTGGACAATTGAGTAAGACCTTATTTCAAAGAAGATACGATAGGTCTGGGAATGTGTCTCAGAAGGCACAGTACTTTTCTAGCAATATGCAAGGCTGTGTTCAATTCCCATTATTACTAGAGTAGATAAGAGTGTTCTATTAGTCAGGCGGGACCACACACTATAATCCCAGAACACAACAAACAGAGGAAAGAGCTCTGGCCAGCCTGGCTAGTCTATACACTGATTACAAAGGGTTAAAAGCAAGACACCATCTCAAACACACATCAATTAGTGTCTAAGTACCTGGTATTTCTTAAGTTCTCTCTTCAGCTGGAGAATTGTCACATGCTGGGGTCCCTCTTCCAGATTCCCAACACCCTGGTGTCCTGGGAACGGGGTGAGGACAGCCTTCCTGACCTCCTGGGTCCTGCTAAACCATTCCTGTAGCTTGTGCTGCTGTTTCTGGTTTAGCCTGACAGCATCTTTTAGGTCCACGAGGAAGGCGAATGCTTGCTCTATGCAGTCCTGGTAGCCCAGACATTCCTCCTGTAGCTGAGCTACCTGCTCCTCTAGAGAATGGATCCGATTCTGGTCAGAAGCGCCCTCGGAGGGGGTCTGGCTAGTTTGACTGATACTGGCTTGATGGCTCTGCAAAGCTTCTCGAAGCAACTTAATCTCAAATTCCATCTCATCCATCCGGTCTGATTCAGGGCTAAAGTTTAAAGTAGGCTTGTTTCTAATGTTCCGTGCTCTGTTGGCATATTTGAGAGAATTTAAGGACTCGTCAAAATCTGAGGAGGAGGGGCTGACGCAAGTGATCATGACGGTCTTGGCACTGCCTCCCAGGGAGTCTTTCAGAAGCCGGGTAATTTTGGCATCCCTATATGGAATGTGAGAGCTCTTCCTGCGTGGGTCCCCAAGGGCACTTATTACGTTTCCTAAGGCAAGCAGCCCACTGTTGATTTGAATGGACTCCTTGAATCGTTCACCTGTGTTCCCCGTTTTGGTCACTCTTTCTGATCCGGCCAAATCCACAAAATGGAATTTGGAGACAATGTGCCGATGTGGGTACCACTCCCCATTCTCAGCTGCCTCTGTGTTTTTTTCAACTTGGCAAATGCTTATTGTGAAAATTGCATGGGATCTACTGGAGTGTTCGTTCATCTGGGTGGTGCTTGTGTGCCTGGCCGCATTCCCTGCCTCCAGCAGGCTCATCACTTCATCCACGCTCTCTACGTGGCATTCTTTGGCCCCAACAATCACTTAAAACAGAAAGTTTTAAAACCACGTTTTCATCACAATTCAGTACAATTAACCATACAACACTTACCCTTTGCTATGCAACCCAAAAAGATAGTCCCTTAAAAAAAAGTAGTGATGTTGTTTCAAGTACCAGCATCAGTCAGTATCATTAAATAATTTCACAGTTGGGTGGTGGTGGCACACACCTTTAATCCCAGCATTTGGGAGGCATGGGCAGGCGGATCTCTGTGAGTTTGAGGCCAGCCTAGTCTCAGAGTGAGTTCCAGAACAGGCTCCAAAGCCACAGAGAAACGCTGTTTCAAAAAAGAAAAACAAACAGTATTATGTCTAAACTCTAAAAGATGTACTTTATTTGTTAAGATCCAATGGTTGCTTTAGGTCAAACATCATGCTTATGTCTTTAAATGACTGACAATCAAAACCTCTGGAGCTGGGCTTATAGAACTCAGTAGGAGAGTTATACAAAGAACATTGGAGGCCCTGGGTTCAAGCTCTAGAATTAATACAAACAAACAAACAAAACAAACAAACAAGCAAACAAAAACCCAGACAGAATACTTTGTTTCAATATTTTGATTATAATTATTACAAGAAAACAGGAGCCATGCCTGGTGGCACAAACAGGTGCCATTTACTCATATGGCTGAGGCAGAAGGATTAAAGTTCAAAGCCAGCCTGGGAAATTCTGAGTTCAAGGCCAGCATAGGTGAATTTTATGGAACTCTGTCCCAAAATCTTTTAAAATTAACATGAGAAAAGAAGGCTGGTGGCATAGCACGTCCCTGGCTAGATGACTTCCAGCATGGCAAGGCAAGTACATGAACAAAAAGTAAAAGCAAATTCACTGTGCACATATTTTTTAATTCTTGGAATGCTGATGCCACTGAGGGCCTTCAATAATTTCCCGGAGCTACTTCACCTGTGTTTCCCTTGTCATCTTCTCGGATGTGAAGGTCCTTCATGGATGTCTCCAACTCTAGAAGATCTCTTAGGTCTTCCTTATACACTTCTATATACGACACTTTGATTTTAAAGTCAATGCTGGTGTTCTCAGAGATGCTCTGAAATATCTCTTGGATAGCTCGAGGAATGATACCCTTTTGACCCTCCACAACTGACGCTGAAAATTTAGAAATAGAAAGCATATCTGAGACTTGAAATATAAGAAAAACTATACTCCAAAACTTAGGCTTAACATCTTCCTTCACATTTCTATTATAAAAATTCAAAACTGGGCAGGCATGGTGGCTCACACCTTTAATCCCTGCACTCGAGGCAGAGACAGTCTGACTGGCCTACAGACAGAGTTCTAGCCTAGGGTATATAGCAAGATATAGTCTCAAAATGTATAGAAATGAATTGAATTAGTGAATACAAGGCCAGTCTGGTCTGTATAGCAAGTCCAAGGCCTTCCAGGGCTAACTCATACAACCATAAAACCCAGGGCTAAGCGTTGGGGCATGATTCACTGGGCAAGAAAGAGCATTTGCTGCACAGGCACAAGTACCTGCGGAAAGAGGCCCAGCAGTCTTGTAAACAGTCAGGCATGGCACAAGTCTATGTAACTCCAGAGGGCAGAGCAGGAGGATCACTAGGGCCTGACGATCAGCAGCCTGGCTCCAGATTCAGCGAAAGGCCCTGCCTCAAGGGAACAGACTTGAGAGTGATACACAGGCATGAAGACATACCCGTGTGTACACATACCATGCACACATACCATGCACATATGTCTATACAAAAAAAAAAAAAAAATCAGGGCAAACATTTTCACATGTATCCCTCATGCAGAATTTATTCATAACAAATTTAGTATCTACTACATGCCATGCAATAGTCTAGGGCTCTGGGAAGACTTAATCACCAAAACAAGGGGGAATCTCTAATATTGTGGGATTCTCCTGAGAATAAGGGAAATCTGTAGGCTGTATGGTATGTTAAAATGCTGGCCACACACACAGGTATACACCTAGCATTCCACTGGGTGCTGGGATGGGAGTTCACAGACAGCCTGGCTAGAGAGCAAAACTGTCTCAAAGGTAAACAAATAGGAACCGGGAGTGTTTGGAGGGCAGGGTAAAGAGACTGGAGTGTGACTCTAACTGCAACTTTAAATAAGAAGGCCATGAGCAGAGACTGGAGACTGGAAGGGTGAATGTCGAAGGTACTACCTGATGTGACCACAAACAAGGTCAGCACAGTCAGAACACAGGGAACAAGGAGAGAGGAAGAGAGATGAGGTCAGGGGGGTGACACACGACATCATGGAAGTCCTTGTCACTGCTGTACACATGGAGTCATTCTGACTGAGGTCACAGCCACCAGGGTAGGACAGTAACGTTACTGTCTGAATTTTGTTTTTTCGAGACAGGGTTTCTCTGTGTAGCTTTGGAGTCTGTCTTAGGGCTCCCTCTGTAGACCAGGCTGGCCTCGAACTCACAGAGATCTGCCTGCCTCTGCCTCCCGAGTGCATGCGCCACCACTGCCTGCCCTACTGTCTGAAATTTCACGACTGTCACTGCTGTCTTTTGCAGGAGTGTGCGTGGAGAGACCACTTCAGGGCAGCACTGTGGTAACTGAGGGACTTTCAAGATAAATCTAGTGGGTTCTGATACGATCTCAGGATGGAACGACAGCATGGAATGCAACAAAGCTGGCTGTGACCACAAAGGACAAGAATCTTTAAGAGAGAAAGGGGTGGAGGGAGCAAAAACAGAGCTTTGGAGCACTTTTAGTCCGCTTGCCAGAGCACCGAAAAGGGGCGGGAAAGTACAGCAACCAAGAGTGTGCCAGTCACATGGAAGCCACGTGCACAATGTGCTACATGCGCAGTAAGGTAAGAAATGAACTGACCACTGAACTTAGCAGCGTGGATGTCACGTAGAATAATCTCAGCAGGTGAAATCCCAATGGCTGTAAAGTTGGGATAGACTGAGTTTTAAAAAAGCATGGGGGGGGCACTAAAGAGATGGCCCGGTGGTTGAGAGCACTGGCTGTTCTTCTAGAGGTCCTGAGTTCAATTCCCAGCACCCACAAGGTGGCTCCCAACTGTCTGTAACAGGACTTGATGCCCTCTTCTGGCACGCAGATGTACAGGCAGAGCACAAGTACATAAAATAAAGAACTGGGCGGTGTTGGTGGCACACAGCTTTAATCCCAGCACTTGGGAGGCAGACACAGGCGGATCTCTGTGAGTTCGAGGCCAGACTGGTCTACAGAGCTACACAGAGAAACCCTGTTTCAAAAAACAAACAAACAAAAAAGAATAGGGGAGGAAATTTCAGGTCAAGATGCACGATGCAAATTAATTAAGGGACTGGGGATTGTAGCTCACTTGGTGGTGTTTGCCCAGAGTTCGTGAAGAAGCCTTGGGTTTGCGCTCCAGACACAGTGGTGTGTATCTGTAACCTCGGTACCCCGGAAGTGGGGCAAAAGGGTTACGAGGTCAAAGGTTGGCTACACACTGAGTTCAAGCCAGCTTGGGCTAGAAACTATATCTGAAAACACAAACCAAACCAATAAAAACAAAACAAAACCGTCATTCTTGAAATTTGTCCTCTGACCTCCATTCATATTCCATGGCATGCTCCCCCAATAATAAAAAAAAGATAAACAGACATGGTTGTTCTGTAAAGAACTAAAGCATTATAGAAAATTATCCCCCAAACTGACAAACCACATAAAGTTAAAATTTGTACCGGACAGCAAAGAAAACAATCACGTGAGAGAACAGATGCATGACTAGAAAATATCTTCCTCAACTATACAACACACAGGTATTAATCTCTAGGATGGACGAAGAGCTTCAAAAATTGAATATAAAAAACTATCCCATCAAAAATGGACTATGAATGGGACAGACAGTTCTCAAAAGAAGACTGATGGAGTAGCCGTCGTCAAGGAAACAGCAAATGCAGGCAGAGATGCAGATTACAGAGTCGCTGCTGGTGGGAAGCAAACCGGCCTAACCACTATGGGGATCAGAAAAACGGGATGTTATTCACCAAGTCATCTCTCTGGCCTTGGCTATCTTATTTTATGCCCACAGGACTCTAGCACACCACAGACACTGGTACATCTGTGATTAGTGCACTATTCACAACAGCCGGGAAATGGAACCAGCCTACATGCCCATCAACAGATAAACGGGGTACATATACACAGTGGAATTCATACAACCATGCAGAAAATGAAACCATGATAGGGGCAGGGAATAGGTAGAGCTGGAAGTCATCTCGTTAAAGCAAAATAAGCCAGACTCGGGAAGACAAACACCATGTTTTCTCTCACATGACACCTAGCTTTAAAATTATATGTATATATCATATATAAGCATGTATATGTACATATGTGTGGTCACAAAACCAGAGAGGGGATCATGAGAAGGGAGAGGCCCTAGAGGAGTTGGGAAATAATGTAATGAAACATGTAGTAAGCAGCAGAAATGGGAGTTACCTAAAGGAAGGGAGGGAAACGATGCAAAGCATGGGGGCATTGAGAGGGTGGGCAGGGAAGCCAGTGACGGAGGAGAAAGTATGACTTATGCATACAAACGTGTCTGAGGAAACCTATTACATTAATTTTAAAAGACTATGACAGGGTCTTAGTGACACATACTTGCAAACCCAACTCTGGTGACAGCTGAGCCAGGAGAATTGTAATTTCAAGGACTATATGAGCTACAGATTGAGTTTAAGGCCAGCAGGGGCAACTGAGTGACTCCCTCGAAACAAAAACGTAAAAAGAAGGCTTGGGGATGCAGCCCAGGGGCACAGTGCTTAGCCAGCAAGCACAACCACCTCCCTCTATTTCCAGTACCATAGAAACAAAACAAATTAAAAGTTTAAGGTCTATTATGGACTCAAACAGATAGATGTATACCAGTGTTTGCAGCATCTAGAACAGGAGACAAGCCAAGGTTAACGTTAAATGAAACACACCCAACAACACAGTGCTCAGTCCATAGGTACGTGCTATAAAATGCTAAGTTTAAGAGTCTGAGGATCTTACCAACGTGGCCTCCTCCGATGGTGTATGTCTTCCCAGATCCAGTTTGTCCATATGCAAAAACTGTTGCATTGTAGCCCTCAATGAGTGACAGCACCAGGGGTTTTATGCATATATTGTATACTTCATCTTGAGTGGAGTTTTTGCCAAAAACAAAATCAAAAGTAAAGACTCTGTCTCTGCCAATGATGATCTGCTTGGTGTTTGGGACATCCCTCACACACACTTGATGATTGTGAAGAACCTCTTTACAAAGTAGAGGCCTGATTCTTACGGCCACTTTCACTGGTATTTCCTCCATGGCAGCTTGGGTTTCACTGAACAGATCATCTACTTAATGTTCAGTAACAGTGTGAGAAACATCCATTTTATGGAAGATCTGGTCTCCTGCATAAAAAAAAAAAAAAAAAAGGTATAGTTCAATTACTGGCTCCACTTATGAAAATAAAACCACACGTCTCAAAGCAAAGTCATTTAGAACAGATTCTTTACCAGTACAAATTAAATTAAGAAGAGTTGATCTGACTCATAAAGTGCTTAATTTAATAATGAAACAATTCAGCATTTAGGTTTGCTTCAAAATAGTTGAGGGGACTGGGGACCATGAATCAGTTAATTATAAAGTTAAGGGGTAAATACAAAGGACTCCATTTATAAAGTGGTAATGTTTTCTAGTTCAGTAATCTAAATAGTGGATAATTTCTAACAGAGTTAGAAAAATCAGGCAAGGGGCTGGAGAGATGGCTCAGCAGTTAAGAGCACTGGCTGCTCTTCCACAGGACCAGGGTTCAATTCCCAGCACCCACACAGCAGCTCACAACTGTCTATAACTCCAGTGTCAGGGGACCTGACATCCATGGCAAAACACCAATGCACATAAGATAAAAATAAAATTAAAAAAGGAAACTTATGCAAGGAAGTAACTGAGGAGTTCTAAAACGATTAAAGGGAGATGTTTGCGAAGCATCCAGGGAGCACTCCCTGCTCTTCCGGAGGACCTGATTTAATTCCCAGCACCCACACCAGGGGACTCACAGCTGCCAGTAACGCCAGCTCCTGCACACGTGTGGTACACGCATATCCACATAAATAAGTACTAGACAGGCACACCACTGAGGAGGCAGAGGCAGGCAGAGTTGCAAGTGTGAGGCCAGCCTGCTCTACAGAGTGAGTTCCAGGACAGCCAGGCCTATACTGAAAACCCTGTCTTGAAACACCAAAATAAATAAATAAATTTTAAAGTAAATTATTTGCATTATATTTGCAGGTATTGAAAAAGGGCACTTCATCTCACAAACATCAGAATTGAACCATGAAAGCGGTTTAAGGGTTATTCTGTGTCAGTGTCATTTAAAATAATTAGTCTAACAGTAATCAAAGCTATAAGCTATGAGCACTTGACACACAAGCCTTGGAACATATGTACAGCTGAAATGAGAAAACTCTAGAGTTATGCTCCATGACCCACTCTAACTCCATGACCTGACCCCAACACACACACTGAATTTAACTCTGAGAGACCCTAATAGGAAAATGTCTTTCTATCTCCAAACATTGCCTTAGTTTCTTCTCCTGTGCCGGGATGGAAACATGCCATCAATAGCAACTGTAAAGGTGCAGAATACCCTGGCAGGGACATCTAGGTAGCAGCCTGAAGACATTGGTCACGTTATCCCACAGCCACCAAAGAACAATGCATGCATGCAAGCTAGTGCTGGGCTTGCCTTCTACAGTTTCTTTGGGCCAGGTTTCCCTGCCCAGGAGATGGTCCTTCCCAAAATAAAGATATGTCTCCCGGGACAGCAAAATGGTTCAGATTGTAAAGGTACTTGCCACCAAGCCTGAGCACCTGAGTGACCCCTGAACCCTCATGGGGAAGAACAGGCTTCCACAGATGTCCTCTGATCATCATAAACGTGTTCACACACCCACACAATGTAAAAAAAATAATAATAATAAAATGACTCTTCTTACACCAACTAACATAACTAACATAAGATAACCTCCTACAAGCAGGGCGTTGGTGGCTCATGCTTTTAATCCCAGTACTTGGGAGGCAGAGCCGGGCAGATCTCTGTGAATCTGAGGCCAACCTGGTCTACAAGAGCTAGTTCCAGGACAGGCTCCAAAACAATACAGAGAAACCCTGCCTTGAAAAACCAAAAAAACAAAACAAAACAAAACAAAACAAAAAAACTCCTACAGGCCCAGACTCTGGAACTACAGCATGATCACACATATTTGGCTCCAGGATAAACTGTTTCTTACTCCTTTTTGCGGTGACACTTTGTATTAATAGTTTCCGATGCCTTAATATGGGGCCCCAGGGATGATCTACTTTCACAGGAAGAGACATCCAGTTTGGCCCTGGGTACCTCTTATGCCCAATGTTCAGGCAGTGGCCCCTCAAGTGTGTCGGAGAGCTCTTTCTGGGGCACTGGTTTGTTCTGAGCTGGCTGTTGGACCCTGCTTTGTTTGGACATCTCTCTCTTGGTTTTCAGAGCACTTAGTTTTAGGAGTGTGAGCAAAAGTCACCAACCTGGAATGGGGCATATTCTTTGGAAAAATGGTTCTTAAGATATCACCAACCTAGAAGACCACTGGACAACAAATGATACCTTGATTTTATACAGGTTTCACTCTGTAGCCAAGAATGATCTGGAACTCAGAGCAATCCTGCTGCCCCCACTTATCCCCAGCATGGACATTACAGGTGTGAACCACAACAGCTAACAGCTATGGAAATGTTAATCACGATAAACGAATACTAATTAACCCTTAAAAGACAAATTGAGCAACAGTACAAATAAACGTCCCAAGAGGATCACAACAGAAACCTTTTATGTCACACTACTAAAAACTCAGGTCCCCTGGGCGTCAGCATCCCAGAGTCAACAATCTAGTGAGGTGGAGTGGAGAACAATGATTCTAATCAAACCTTCAACAATAACAACAAAAAAGCAGCACTCAGACTAAGCATTCTCAAAAGCCAGGGGTGCAGCGATCGTAAGTCTTCCAACAGCCATCATACAGAGTAATTACTATTTTAAAAATGTCATTTCAATAAGGCAAAAGTCAAGGTCTGGGCCAGCGTGATGGCTCAGCCAGCAAAGGCAGTTGTGGCCACATGTCTAATAACCCGAATTCAGCCTCTGGAACCCCACACAGAAGTAAAGCACTGACAGTTTTAAGTTGTCTTCTGACTTCCTCATGCCCACATTCTCTCTCTCTCTCACACACACACACAAACACAAACACAGTTACAGTCTCAGTTAAAGCAAAAGAACTTCTTTCGGTGGAATTTCTAATTAAAAATAAAAGTCAACTGTATTTTTTAACTGTGCAGTGATGGCACACACCTTTAATCCCAGCGCCTGGGAGGCAGTAGCAGGCGGATCTCCAAATTACAGGCCAGCCTGGTCTAGAGTCAGTTCCAGGACAGAGATACACAGAGAAACTCTCTCTCGAAAAACCAACCAAACAAATAAAACACCAGCTGTTACTGGGGCACTCTGACCTCCCTGTTTTCTTCTGAAGGCACTTTTGAAATAAGCAGTGTGACCCTATGCGGTTGAAACACACTCACTCTAATCATAAAAAGACGCATAAGCAAATGGCTCATAAACAATGCTCAGTCAAGTTTTTTTAAAGCCTGTATGTAAGTTATTTTTCAGATTCAGTTTAGTCCTAGGAAACCTACACACTGTCAGACAGAAACAGAAAAACAAAAACAGAAAACAGCAGGGAAACCGAACGGGCCGCTAACATTTGGGGACACCCACTGGATTTCTGAAAAGTGACCAAAGGCAAGGGAAGCGCTGGGCCTCGTGCCCTGTCATCGGCCGGGAACGGGGTCTCAATACCGGCTTCTGCGGACGTGGCGCCCGCTCGGGAGCGCAGACGCTGTGGGCCGCGGGTCACCAGCTCTCGGCGGGAAGCGTCCTGGCCGATGACGGGGCTCGCAGGACCACGACGGCATAAAGGGGACTGGGCGAGCGGCGGGCACCTGCCCTCGACGCCCCGCCCCCCGGCCCTCCGCCCCGCCCCCGGCCCTCGGCGCCCCGCCCCCAGGCCCTCGAAGCTCCGCCCCTCCGCTCCCGCCCCTCGCGACTGCCGCGCACGCGGGGCGCCCACCTCACGCCCGCGCGCCGCCCCGCCCCCGGCCCTCAGCGCCCCGCCCACCCGGCCCTCGTCGCCCCGCCCCCACCCCTCCGCCCCCGGCCCCGCCCCGCCCCTCGCGACGGCCGCGCACGCGGGGCGCCCACCTCACGCCGCCCACCTCACCCCGCGCGCCGCCCCGCCCTCCGGCCCGCGCCGCGGCCCCGCTGCTACCGCAGGACCCTGCTCCGTCCTCCGTCCTCCGCCCGCCGCCCGCCGCGGCTCTCAGCGGGGCCGCCGTACAGCGTGGGGGCTCCGGGCCGCCCAGGTCTGCGCAGGCCAGCGCCCACTGAGCCGCCCTCCTCCGCCCGCCGCGCCCTCGTCTTTTGTTGTCAACAGTTCTCACAGCAACGGCGCGGCCCGCCGCACGCCGCCCCGCCCCGCCCTCAATCCCGCCCCCAACCCCGCCCTCAATCCCGCCCCCAACCCCGCCGGCCCCGCCAGGTTCACACAAAGCTCCGCCCTCGGCCCCGCCCCCGCCCCGCCAGGTTCACAAAGCCCCGCCCTCGGCCCCGCCCCCGCCCCCGCCAGGTTCACAAAGCCCCGCCCTCGGCCCCCGCCCCCGCCAGGTTCACAAAGCCCCGCCCTCGGCACCGCCCTCGGCCCCGCCCTCGGCCCCGCCCCCGCCAGGTTCACAAAGCCCCGCCCTCGGGGACGCCCAGCTGCCTCGGCCCAGGAACGTTCTCTTCGCATCCCAGTTTACACCGCCCAGCCAGGCTTGGAATGAAAGACCCGGGGTCCACGCTGGGTTTGAGCGGGCAGCCACTATCTCAGTAGTCTGCTTTTGAGACACGGTCTTAGGCAGCCCAGGCTACCCCCTGCCTTTGCTTGTAGCGTGCAGGGACCTGAAACCGAGGGCTCCGTCTATGCGAGGCGTGGTGCACACCACTGAGTTCAAAGTCAGCCTGGTCTACTAATGATGTCCCCTCAGGAATAAAACAAATAAAGGGGGGGGGGTGGAACAATGGCTGTCACTTTGACCTGTTCCATTCACAGAGATAAATTTGATAACCCAATATACTGAAGCAGTATGAAAAAAAAGAAATCTGCCACATGACTCAATACATATGGGTAAGTTCATAGACAAAAACAGCTTTCGTGAAACAAGAGTTAGCTCTGATCATATTCTAAGTTTTCTTTTTTAAATTTTATTATATGTGCTTTGGTATTTTGCCTTCATGTATGTCTGTGTGGGAATGTTGGTCCGCCAGAAGTGGAGTTACAGGCAATTGTCAAAAATTAGGTGTCCATATGTGTGTGGGACATCTTTCCTTTTTCTGATATCTTCTTTAATTTCTTTAAGACTTAAAGTTCTTTCACTTGTTTACTTAGAGTTACCCCAGATGTTTTATGTTATTATTTGTGGCTATTGTGATGGGTGATGCTTCTCTGATTTCCTTCTCAGCCCGTTTGTCATCTGTATATAGTGGGGCTACTGATTTTTTGAGTCTATCTTGTATCCTGTCACTGTGCTGAAGGTGTACTGTATGTATACTATCATGTCATCAGCAAATAGTGACAATTTGACTTCGTTTCCAATTTGTATCCCTTTGATCTCCATTTGTTGTCTTACTGCTCTAGCTAGAACTTAGACTACTGTGTTGAATAGATATGGAGAGAGTGGACAGCCTTGTCTTGTTCCTGATTGCAGTGGGATCGCTTTGAGTTTCTCTCCATTTAGTTTGATGTTGGCTGTTGGCTTACTTCATATTGCCTTTATGTTCCTTGTATCCCTGCTCTCTCCAAGACTTTTATTGTGAAGGGAGTTAATTTTGTTGAAGACTTTTTCAGCATCTAGTGAGATGATCACGTGGGTTTTTTTCTTTCATTTAAAAAAAATATGGTGGATTACATTGATGGGTTTTCATATGGTGAACCATTCATACATCTTTGGGATAAATCCTACTTGGTCATGGTGGATGATTTTTCTGATGTATTCTTAGATTTGGTTTACCAGTATTTTATTGAGTATTTTTGCATCTATGTTCATGAGGGATTGGTCTGTAATTCTCCATCTTAGTTGTGTCTCTGTGTAGTTTGGGTATCAGGGTAATTGTAGCCTCATAAAGAGTTTGGCAATGTCCCTTCTGTTTCTATTGTGTGGAATAATTTGAGGAGAATTGGTATTAGATCTTTAAAGATATGATAGAATTCTGCACTGAATCCATCTGGGCCTGGGCTTTTTTGTTGGGAGACTATTGATAAACTGTTTCTATTTCCTTAGGGGTTATAGGTATATTTAAGTTGTTTATTTGTTCTTGATTTAATTTTAGTATGTGGTACTTATCTAAAAAATTGTTCATCTCCTTAAAGTTTTCCAGTTTTGTGGAGTACAGGTTTTTGAAATATGACGTGATGATTCTCTGGATTTCCTCAGTATCTGTTGTTATGTCTCCCCACCTCCCATTCTAACTTTGCTAACTTGGACACTCTCTTTTGGTTATTTTGGATAATGGTTTGTCTATTTTGTTGAATTTCTCAAAGAACCAACACTTTGTCTCATCATTGATTCTTTGCATTGTTTTGTTTCTATTTTATTGATGTCAGCCCTCAGTTTGACTGTTTCTTGCCGTCTACTCCTTGGTGAGTTTGCTGCGTTTTGTTCTAGCGCTTTCAGCTGTTCTGTTAACTCACTAGTGTGGGATTTCCCAGCTTCTTTGTGCAGACGTTTAGTGTGTGAACTTTCCTCTCAGCACTGCTCTCGTTGTGGCCCATGAGTTTGGGTTTGTTGTGTGGTCATCTTCATTACATTTTAGGAAGTCTTTAATTTCTTCATTTCTCCCTTGACCCTGTTCAATTTCCAGTGCTTGTTGGGCTTTCTGAAGTCCATGCTGCTGTTGAATTCTAGCTGTTGAATTCTAGTGGCGGTGCAATAGACTACATGGGTTATTCCAATGTGTTTGTTGTTTTGGGTTTTCTTTTGTATCTGCTGAGGCTTGCTTTGTTACCGAGTATGTGGTCTATTTTTAAGATGGTTCCATGAGGTGTTGAAAATAAAGTATATTCTTTTGCGTTTGGGTGGAATGTTCTATAGATGTCTGTTAAGTCCATTTGAGTCATAACATCTATTAATTCACTCATTTCTGTGTTAGGCTTCTGTCTGCAGGCCTGCCTGTTCAGCAGTGAGCATGAGGTGTTGAAGTCTCCACTATTAGTGTGTGGGGCTTGATTTGTGATTTAAGCTTTAGTAATATTTCTTTTCCAAATGCAGGAGCCCTTGTGTGTGGGGGATAGATGTTCAGATTTGAGATTTATTCTTGGTGTATTTTTCCTGTGATGTATATGAAATGCCCTTATCTTTTCTGATTGATTTTAGTTTGAAATCTATTTTGTTAAATATTAGGATAGCTACATAAGCTTGTTTCTTGGGTCCATTTGATTGGAAAAAATTTTCCCAACCCTTTACTCTGAGGTAATGTCTGTCTGTGAGGTTGAGGTGTGTTTCTTTTTCTTTTTTTCTTTTTGTTTTTTGAGACAAGGTTTCTCTGTATTGTTTTGGAGCCTGTCCTGGAACTAGCTTTGTATACCTGACCAGGCCTGCCTCTGCCTCCCAAGTCCTGGGACTAAAGGTGTGTGCAACTAACGCCCAGCTGAGATGTGTTTCTTGTATGCAGCAGAAGGATGGATTCTGTTTTCATATACAATTACCTCTGTCTTTTTATAGATGAATTGAGATTATCTATATTAATGGATGTCAATGACCAGTGATTGCTAGTTCCTGTTATTTTTGTTTTTGTTAGTGGTGATGGCATTATGTATTCAATTCCCTTCTTTGGGATTTGCTGCTGTAAACAGCTCATCAATTGCCTGTTCTTGTGGATGTAGCTTTGGGTTAGTGTTTTCCTTCTAGTACTTTCTGTAGGGCTGGATCTGTGGATATTGTTTAAATCTGGCTTTATCATGGAACATCTTGTTTTCTCCATCTATGGTTATTGACAGCTTTGCTGGGTAGTCTGGGCTGGCTTCTGTGAATCCTTTATTATCTGCATAACCTCTGTCCAGGACCTTCTGGCTTTCATTGTTTCCATTGAAAAGTCAGGTGTAATTCTGATAGGTCTGCCTTTATATGTTACCTGGCTTTTCTCCTTTGCAACTCTTAATATTACTTCTATGTTCTATATGCTTATTGTTTTGATTATTATGTGGTGATGGGACTTTTCTTTTTCAGTCCAGTCTATTTGGTGTTCTGTAAGCTTCTTGTACTTTCATAAGTATGTCCTTTAGGTTGGGAAAGTTTTCTTCTATGATTGTGGTGAATATATTTTCTGTTCCTTTGATCTGAACCTCTCCTTCTTCTCTCCCTATTATTCTTAGGTTCAGTCTTTTCATGGTGTTCCAGATTTCCTGCATGTTTTATGTTAAAGATCTGTTGGATTTAAATTTTTCTTTGATTGATGAATCAATCTATTTCCTCTATCATATCTTCAATGCCTGGAAATTCTCTCTTCCGTCTCTTGTATTCTGTTGTTTATGCTTGCATTTGTGGTTCCTGGTTGTTTACACAGATTTTTCATTTCCAGAATTCCCTTGGGTTGTTTTCTTTATTTCCTCTACCTATTTCAGGTTTTAAGTCTTGAATCATTTCCTTCACTTGTTTTTTTCTTGGTTTACGCTTTTTTTTCCTACTTTCCTTCCTTCCTCCCTCCCTCCCTTCCTTTCTTGAGACAGGGTTCCTCTATGTAGCTTTTGAGCCTATCCTGGCACTTGCTTTGTAGACCAGGCTGGCCTCAAACTCACAGAGATCCATCTGCCTCTGCCTCCTGAGTGCTGGGATTAAAGCTTTCTCGGTTTTCTTTAAGAGGTTT